TATTCGAAGCTGCCGCTCTCGCGTCTGCGCATGCGTAATCTCGCACTCTGATTAGTCCGCGTTTTTCCTTAATAATTCAAAAACGAAGCTTCAAAACCCGTTTTTGCAAAGGCAAATCTCATTCAGAATCACGTCAGCTACATTTCTACACTAGTTGTGAGACACCCTGTATTTTTCAACTTTCAATCTCTCGAAAGTTCAAGTCGGAAAAGATTGCACTTTCCTTTTTACTTATACTATCATTAACAACTACTATTCAATTCTTAATAGAAATATTAACAAATTGTAATTAACAACGACAATTTCAATTTAATTTCTAATTAAAGGTTAATTAAATGCGTTCATAAATTAAATGAGGAAGTGAAAGGAAATGAAGCTGTTCATTTATATCTAATTAAATCGTTATATAATAGATCGTTTGATTGTTGATTCAGACTCTGGCTTAGCCTGCAGGAATTCAGATAATCGTGTCCAAATAAACTTTGTAAGAAGTTAGAAATACAAATCATTTCACGTCAGTTCGAAAAAGGTTTCGATTGCGAAACGAATTATAGCAAACAATCAGGGAATTAATATGTATCAAGCGTGAAAAAATATGCGTTAATTTCGTTCCGTTGCGACAGGTGGGCCGATGTAGCGAGAGTTTTGTCAGAATTATGCAAATCTGTCGCTAGTCGCACGTGTCGCAATGCAGACACCTCATCCATACCGATCTTGTTTTGCTCAGAGTATTCAACAATGCAACGTGTTTGCCCTCGTCTTCGATGCAGGATATATTTATACTGTCAAGTGGTTCGAGCGCTTGGTAGTTGCAATAATATTTATCTGCTGCAGCAACTGGAAGACCCGGCGTCTTCGATCTTCTCTTGTCCGTCCCGCTGTCGTAAAACTGCAATATATCGTAGATTGTAGGATTTCAGCTGTAGGAGAACAGCCCTGGTGTCCTTATGCCGTGTTCACACCGTTGTTCTCGGGATGTATCGTTGACTATGTAAAATGCAATTTTGTGCAACGTAGACGTCTCTTTCAGTTAACGGTTTCAGTGTTAAATGATGATTAGCGACACTTAGGAAAATTTTGTGTAAATATTATTCGCATGATTTTCAACAAATATTGAAATACGAGTGGTTATAATTCATCCTTTGTCTTGTGATGTTTCTTCTTGAATTTTGTTAATATTCTTGCCATTTTTTTTCAAGCCTTAAATTAATTTTATCAAGCCTTATTATATTTAGAGATTGATCGGTGTTCAAAGGGTTAAGAGATGAAGGGAAAGAACGTTCTATTGATTGCATTGGTTAACATCTATTAACTTGCATTAACATCGGACACATTCTTCCCATAACAGAATTGATATAAAAGAAAAGAACTTGCTTACTTTTCCAATGGAAGAAAAAATGCATTCACTCATCAAGGAATCTCTAATATAAACAGAGCTTTCTAGCCAACTGTTTTCCCTCAAGAAAAGCTGGCACACCCCACATGTACAGTACTAAAGTACTTGCTTATCAGCTGCTCGCAGCAGCACTGTGGATGCGGTTTTATGTCTGCGATTCGGTTTGCGAGAGTAAACTGCAATACGCCTGGTATTAATAGATGTCTGGTTTCATGCGGCACACTTTGCAGCAAGGCATCTCGTTATTATTAATCGAGCTGCCTCAAACGAGCATTCTCTTTTTCTGAAAATCCGTTGTCTGCCGAGAAATCGAATCGTCGAGCGAGATGAGCCGAAACAAGCCATAGCCGTCGGAAATGAAAGTAGACATCGTAATTTTTTCGTTAGCGTGATTAGATGAAATGGAACGTAGAGAAATTGCAATAAAGGAAACCGTAGAAACGTGGTTTTGTTTGAGGTGCATACCGTGCCGTGTGAACGAACATTTGAAAATAAAGTTACGAGTTTTATACTGCTTTGAACGTATATTTTACTTTCTTTCGCTCAGCCTCCTTCATTATTTAGAGTTCGTTCGGAGATCTTTGATCGACGCACGTGTGTTCTATTAATGTTGTTTTCGAATGTACTCGTTACTTATTGAAGATTATAATTTCAATATCAGCTGTTGCAGGCTTTTAATAACAGAGGGAAGGTAACGTTAGATATTGTTTTGGAGGAATGATTTATTTATAGGCTCTGCTGGGAAACATGCTCTAGAACTCCTATGATAAATACTGTAATTAGCGACAATCGTGTCCCAACAGTACTTTAGCGACATACAGTGATGTAATGGTATTGTATGATGTATCGCTAATTTATTACCACTGTTTATCTTTCTTATAACGCGTATTATACATAATGCATGGTAATATATCAAAAAGTCTTAACGGACGTTTACCGATGTACTAAATTACAAGTTGCTTTCATTATTATCATTGCTAACACTTCAATTTCAACTTGTAAACGCAATTAACTCTTCCGAAAAAATTCATTTTACAGAAATTTACAACTGAATTTAATGCCGCGAATAAATAAATCTTTACAACCGGTGCTCAAGTTTATACGATTCTCGAGAGGATACAACCTAGAGACGGTTCTAATTTTGTTACGCAATGTTGGGCCAATCATATCTCGTAATAAAATAGACCTCTAATCCTCCATAATTCTAATCGAACATTTATTGAACTTTTCTAAATTTAATCCTTGAAGAAGCAGGTTAATTGAATTTCTTACATAATGGGAAGACACGCTATTTCTGTTGACAAATTTAAAAATAATCTATTCAATTTTGAAGATCGTTTTAAGAAACCTCTTCGGTTGCCCCAAAACACTGAGCGATTAAGAATAATACCTTTAAGGATGCGAAAAGTAATCACAAAGGTAGATGAGCATGTACACTGTCATTGTTACATTAAATCATTCTGCGAACCTAATCAAATTTTGTTCAAATCAGTGAGCACGGGTTCACGACATTCCATTTTTAGAAAGGCAATTTATATTTGCCCTTTTAAAGTTAGGTCTGCTCTAATAATAACCTAACTGCACTATATAAGTTAACATCTATTAATATTTTGTGTTGATACACAAAATACACAACATGTATTTTTTTAAAGTGTTACTTTTATACAGTGCTTCATTAATTTCACTATTACAGTGCTGCATTATTGTAGTATTTCATTATATAGTTATATTAAAATTTTACTATAAATATGCAATATACAATTTCATTATACACCTATTTTATTGCACAATTGACGCTATACTTTCAACATACTCTCCGTTAGGTATTTTACTTATTCATCGCTGGTTTTGTGTCAAATATCGAGTTAATCGATAACAGCGGTATCGAGCGTAAAAATGACCGATGCACTAGAACGAGTTACGTTCGATTCGCGCGGGACGGACAGTGTCGATCAGACAATGACCTCGACGATGTGTTTCTAAAGAAGTCCGGCCAGCAGGAGACAATGGATATATAATATTGCCTATAATTAGCCACGTAAAAGCTGTCTCTAATAATAAGCAAAGCAGCCAGATGCGAAACTGTGAGCTACAATAATCTCGATGTACTTAACGGTTATTAATAAAATGCGCGAGTTATCTTGCAGCCACAAACACGTTTAATGCTTATCAACACACCATGTGCGACTCGGGAATATTACTGTACACAATCCGCAGATAGACTGCTCGGCAGATAAAAGCTTTTACGATGATGCCGTTTTGTGTCTGGAGGCTGTGCGGCAAACGGAAGAATTCTCTTATCGTCTCGTATACAGTTAACCCTTATGTGCGTCCAGAACATGGAATTAACATTGACAAACGGATCATTCACTGTGAACAAAGAACTGCGAAAATTAACATTTTGCATAGATATTACATATTCAGAAATTTAGCATTCTAAGAATTAAGAATTTGAAGACGTAGAAATTCGGGAGTTTAGAAATTTGAAAATCAAATGTTTGAAGTAATAAATTTGTAAATTGACCAAATAAGAATATGCGATGTTTCTAACCTTAGCCATTTTTTGTAGGGAAGCATTACGCATCATATGTCACGAGTAGGTTACCGGTTTTTTTTAATCTCGTAAACTGTTCAGCATGGCAATTATTTGTGTACACTTTAGAAGGATCGTTTGACGACTCGAGTTCAAGACCGAACGTATGATTCCAAGAATCTTCCGTAAACATTCCCATAATAACCGTGACTGTAGTTAAATGTATCGTCGCTTAAACTCGCAATGCACTTAATCACTCGTCCCTGCGAAATGAGAAACAAGAAAAAATAACGAACAGAGCAGACAAACTATCTGAGCCAACGTATCTTTTCTGCTACCGTGTGCAATATACTTTTTGTTGACGTCGGTTTGTTGCAGCACATTTAGTCGCATTCGCGGTCGAAATCAATTGTCTGCTGTAAAGATGCCAGCGTAAACAAGAGCGAGAACCGTTTCTCAAATTTCGAGACAACAGTTTCTTAATTATACAACGGATATAACGTCTGATGATAGGTCTCTTGAATCATTGGCACTAATGGGTTCAAGGACAATATATGATGATTTCGAGTAAATAACACGGATAAATTAAAGTTTAGGCTGTATAAATTGAAAATTACAAAAGTACATTCAAGAGATAAGTCAATACACATCGCACTGCGACGCGGTTGTTTTCCCGCGATCGTTTCGACAATATTCGGAAACGCTCGTGACTGTTCGTTGAACACGTGATGCGCACACATCTTTGCGCGCATATTGTAAATGTTTTTAATTTGATTTAGGCATTCAAAGAAATTCATGAACTATGCAATTTAGTTAATTATGAACATAGAAAATTGGAAGTTTAAATAATTAGAAATTTTTTAATTTAAAAATTTGAACATTTGAAATGTTAATCAAAATCTCTTCATCCCACGTTTTGTAGCTATTATTAAATGCTAAAATGCTACAGTACTTTTTCCTAAAAAATTCATGAATTTCTCACTAGTTTCCTATTAAGTTAAAAATTATTTCAATTTAATCTAAATACTCCCGTTTCAACCGGATCGCTAAAACCCGTGATTCTGTTTTCAGATGAAAATTGAAACGTCTCAGGACATGACGTAATTATTATCGACCAAAGCGTAGGGAAAACAGCAACCATGAAGAAGAATCTTGCGCCGTAGTCGCAATCTGCGATGTTAGTCACACAGACACCCTCCTCGACGGACACTCTGCCGAATATGTTGTCGGTACTCGAGGAGGAGGCGAACGTCGACGCCGACGACCCGTTTCCGCCGCACGTTGACACGACGAACATCGTCGTACAACCAGAGTCACCCACCAGCAAGAAGCAAGCATTGAAGACCTTCAACGAGGTCAATGCGCTGCTCCAGGCTGGCAGAAAGAGGGAGGCTAAGCTGATCATAAGGGAGAATGCGTGGCCATTGTACAACGGGATCAGGGCGCAACTTTGGCCAGCTCTTTGCAACCAGCATGCTCACGGCAAAAATATGCTCGATGGATTCTACTGGGACATGGTTAACCAAGTGTTCGGCACCACAGGTTTGTTTCTTTAACCCTCCCACTTTTTATTCATCACCTCATAGGTGGTTTTAAAACAATATCAATTTTAGGAAACAATGATATATTTCTAGGGTGCTTAATCATTGTAAAAAATATTTTTGAATGTTTATCTTTAGCTAAAAATATTAAATTTTTTCCATAACTATAGTTGTGGATTCACCTTAAACGCACCCTAAGATATGAATTCAGAGCCTACGTAGAACGTGCAGGTCCTAGTGACAGTTCTTCTACCAAATATTGTTTCAATAGACTATATGAGTAAAGTGTGCCCTAGGTACATAATTGCCCACTGCTAGTGTTTGCACGGTATTCAAATTATTGAGAATTGACAGCCATTGTCAACGAATCAAATTATACCCTCCAATTATTACCGCAGTCAGTCTGTTTTCTCGACTAGATGACTAATGCTCGTAATTATCTGTTTACAGAACTGCCGGAAAAATCAATCATGCTACCGCCGTTCGTGGATAGCACCCATTGCCTGTCGTATCACTTGACGAGAAAAGGCAGGAGCGTCGCGGACAGGGTTGTCTCTGTGCTTGGATACGCTTGTCCCGACATCACCTACAGCCCTTCTCTTTATCCCATCACGGCTCTTCTTCTTCACTTCATGCCAGGTGAGGATGTATAAATAAACATCGGTAAATAAAGCACCGACAGGGCGGTAAAGTGCAAGAGAGATCCCTCTTTTTCTTCTTCTTGTTCGCTGAAGAAGCTTCTCATTCGTTCCGGTCACAATGGAAATTCACATCGCGTGCCCGTAAGTCGAATTTCTTGCCTGATCGCATAAATTAAGACGCGGACACGCGGTTGGATGGTATCCCAGTTTTATTAATAGGTCGAAATCGGACGTGTTCACGAGATACGGTCTCTATCTATGTTTCTCTGTTGCAGAGGAGGAATGTTATCATTGCATGGCCAGCTTGGTCGCGGCTAAAGACAAGATGTTCATTACGCAAACCAAGCTTCTCTACGAGGTCACCTGGAAGACTGTAGAACAAATCACCAAGAAGCACGTGGTACGTTGTTGAAGACTCATCCACCACCAGTTGATCCCGAGGAGTTGACTCACTTTTGCCGACCTGTTTCGTCCTTGAACGAGATTCGTTTACTTGTACAACGTTACTCTGCAGAAATCAGAAGTTGGCTAGCTCAATGAATGCGGGTCTGATTGTTATAGAGAGGAACCTAGAGCATTTATGTAGTCAATAACTTGAGAATTTAAGTTCCTATCTACACTTTCTGAATTGCTAATATCTGAAATTGCTAAGTTCTCAGGTTTCTCAAATTCTCTAAAAAGAATCTATGAAAACGTAGAGATGTCTATTAAGTTCTCTCAACCAGACTAATACAATGCCTATAGGGTATCACCAACTGGTGTCCAATTCTCCAGCTAACTTCTCATTCCTGCAAAATACTCATAGCACAATAGATCTTTCAGAAAGGATATTATATATCTCTTTACAATCAATCGTTAGGATTTAAGTAAATGTACACATGGTCTTTTAGACCAAACCCTTTGCATTTGAAAATGGCTAAGTTTAAAATGAATGTATTTGTAGAAATCGGCCGCAGTGCATCTAGCAAGGCATTGCTCTGGCTCCAGAGCAGAGAGGATTTACATGGATTGGATTTGGTGGATTCTGCAGCTCCTTCCTTTCCAGCATCTAGTCAGGGTTATGGACTGTTTTCTTCACGAAGGCATTAAGGTCGGTATTCGCAGAATTCGAAGAAAAGTATCGAAATATTCAAATGTTTCTTCTTCTGTACCTCTTCATGGTACATTAAAAAACGCTTATTGGCTTCGGTTCAAGAGGAAGATGAAGCAAAAGATATGTATAATGCAGAATGTTCTTCCAGGAATAGTATGAATGGTAAATTCATGCGTTGATCGTGTGCCAGTGAGCAATTGGTATAAGACACATTTTTGTTCGTTGATTCTTCTTAATGTAGCTATATATCAAGTCATATTTGCTGCATTGCTCAGCAAAAATTCAGTAATATCCGTTCCCTAACTTCCGGTCGTTTATTTTCAGGTCTTCTACCGAGTAGCGATGGCTATAGTTTTATTATTTTACAAACACTCGTCGTTGCAAAACTCCGAGTGGATGAATGAAATTTCCAAGAACGGTATTGATGCCGCTCTTTCGAAATTCTGCAGGCAAATACCGGTAAGATATTTCTACTTCTTCTAGTGATCATTAACCCTTCTTTGAACTATGAATCAATATGAATATTATTGTTAAAATTTGTGTCTTATTTTTAGGTAACACCAGCTAAGTTTTTACGTACCGCGTTTGGAATACGTGGCCTCAGCTCAGCGTACATATCAAGGGTATTTTTGCGCACAGAAATGGCTCTCAAAAGTAGAAGCGTTTTAACCGGCTCCAGATCACTAGCTAGATCGCGATCCACGGACAATCTACCGACGAGTCAGTCTCAAGTCAACATTCAGATGATGTCGCACACGCTCACCATACGAGAAGTATGTTATCCGTATTCCTCTTCCTGTCGATCATTGATAAGAAAATTATTCTTGACAAGTGGACTCACGTACATGCTAAGATTTTACTCCATTCTATCTGGTTGTTTCTCTTCTTGATCGACTTTTATGAATCTTCTTTTATTTTTTTTGCAAATTTTGTAGTTATTGATACTATTGGCATGTTAACAACGCGTTACTTTCCTCTCTATTCTCGAAACATAAGAATTATTTTCATGAATGATGTACATATATGTGAGCCCATTACTCGATAATTGTTGCGAATGATTCCTTTTTATTTCCGAGAAGTGTTGCAGGTTTGAAGACATTTAGTGTCAATAGTTTTATATCTATATTATTTAACGGTTAGAATAGTGTTTAATAGCGATTGCAAACGAATCATCGTTTGAACATATTATAGTTTCTTAGGGTAAACAGTAGCGAGAATTATGCGAAAGCTGTTCAAATGATTCACTTTGTTTTCAGAAAGAGTGTGAAGACACATACAAAGACAGGGTATCGTATAATTATCTTTTTGGGAAATGTGTTGTTTAGTTTCATGTGCTCTGCCCTCTGTTCCTGAACTACTATACCTGTTACATTCATTCATACTCACCCATTGTTACACTTTATCGTGCCAGCTTTGTTGCTGTTACCGTCTATTCACTCGCAGTTATTGCCTTCCTCGAGCAGTACAGAATAACAAAATGGTTTTCTTCTGATAAAAAAAAATTCATATCGTCTATTCATTAGGTCTTCACTGGCTTTCAGTGTTTCACAACTATGACACGCCAAATGTAACAATAATTAAAAATATGGACATTCATACATTCTATCAATAAAATTAATATTGCTGTTTTACCAGAAAGAATGTTGAGAAACTCAAAATATAGATGGTGACTGTTACTAATAGGCTACACGAGATGTTTGCTTGTCATTGATCGATAGGATGGTCAAACTTGTCTCTCGAACGAATGAATAGAAAAAGCTGTTGTAAGTGCTTGGTACGCGAACATCAGTTTCGATCAGTGAATGCAGCAGCGCTTCATCAACTTCCGTCTATCGCTGTTTAATTAATTTTTAATTGTAACAGCTGTACAATAGGAAGCGAAAACATGATAAAACAGTGGCATTCGAACAACGCATTTTAATTTTATACTAATTATTTTCAACGCTTCCGTAGCACATCAATATACACATCATTTACAGTTTCGTTTTCAAGATTATTACACTGGTTATACTAGTGGATTCGACATTTCATCCGTATTACTTTTGCGCGAGACATTAAACAATTTTAAATGACTGGCCGATGGTTTTTCTTGTTATGCTCTCTGTGTCTCGGATGGTTTTAACAAGTGTTTCGTATAGTATTATTCCCATTTGATACGCAACGCCGAGCCAAAGCCGTACGCCAACATAACTGACAGTTTTGTGTTGTCTTGTGTCATGCTGCGTTACTGGAATGATGATGGATTTAAATGGTCATGGGTGTAGGGTGCACACAGTCCTGGACCGCGTGCTCTGTCAATGGGCGTTTATCCCATACAAAATATATGCTCCCAGATTCTAGACATGTCTGATGTAAGTACTCACGGCCGTTCATTAATACGAAAACAACGAATTTAAAAAAAGAGTTCGGCAGTAGAAGAATTTTCTGTAGTTTTCGCTGGTCGCCTCTCTGTGGCATGTCGATATTGTCGTTATGGGTGTACGTACAGCTGCCTTGAAGTATATATTGTATCAGGTAGTACAGGGCTTCCCAAACTTTTATGGACCAAAACACACTTTTTGAATGGGTAATTTTCCGCCATTCATTCGCTTATAATATATTATTTTTTGAAATTCCATATCTCCTAGTCCTACTTTCAAACATAGTAATTTTGCGTCATTCACTCGCTTGCAATGCATATTTTAAAAGGAAGATGTCATACAGAGAATATTGCTTTACTGTTTTAAAGTTTTATGTTATACATGGTCTACCCAACCTAACCTAACCCAAAATCGGCTCGTGACCCACCGGCGGGTTGGGATGCACACTTTTGGGAATCTCTGAGATTTTCTACTTCGTTTCTATCTTGACTATTTGAGAGAATACTAGTTGAAGCGTGTACGATTCACGTCAATGGTAATCGTTTAGCAGATCTTCTAAATTACAAAAAGTCCAGATTGATGGTAAATGAAAGTTGATTGTCATTCATGTGCGAGGTATAAGTACATTAGTGATTATCAATTAAGTTGGCTTTATAGTCACGATTTCGTTATCACATCTTTATTGTACATCATTTTGTCTGAGGTTTAATATCTGGCGAATGTATACGTTGAATTGAATGATGTATGGCCTGATCAATACAGCAACTAGAATAGTGCACTTTCATGTACTCCTCAGATCAAATTTGTTATGCTGTATCACTCTTCGCTGTTCATTTGGCATGTATTATTCCTGTTTGATTTGTGTGTATTTTGTCCCATTCCTTTATAGTTCCTTCCTAAAACTCCTACTAATTTGTGCTGTGACAATATTTGTTTTTTCTTGCAGCTAGCATCTAACACCAATACCACGTAGTGAAATTGGTAGCTACGTCAACAAGTTATGATACCTTTGAAAACACTTGTGATAGATATGCGCAATCATATGTTTTTATAATTAGTTGATATTTCATCGTATCATTTACATTGCTCCATCAGTTTTCTATTCCACAGCTTTAATTCACTTAAGATTTATTATATAGCAATTCACTTTTATATATGTGAATGATGCTCGTGCCTTTTGCATGATGAATGATACAATTTTTTATACAAGGATGGTTAACATTCTAGTACTATTTTGTTAATTAGTCATTCTTTTTTATTATGGCACAATCGACTTTATGTGTTGTAAATTGTAAGTTAAATATGACTATCGGTAATAACATGTTATATTTATATTAATGCACGTAATATCAGAAAGTAAGAATAAAATATCTGTAATTCAGTGATGATTTAATTCTTAAGTAGTACATATCATAGTAGAAATCAGAAATGTCGTATAAGGTATTATTTAATGCAAATAAAATTTATATTACGTTCAAATTAAAAGGAAATAAATTTTTTGATTTTGGCTTCATAATTATCTATTATATGTATAAATTTTTTTCAGTCAAGCGCATGATCTACCGCTGCTGTGACATAGTTTGTTGTATCTTTGAACAATTAGAAAATTATTGAAAACTAATGTTTGCACAGTTATAAGCCTTAATTGTAAGAGACATATCAGGTTAATTTTGTACGTATTCTTTGTGACAGTTATTCACATTATGGTCCTGGCTACCTATGAGGATTACCATGTACCAGCCAATACTATTATACACGACTGAAGAACATGGTTGTTCTTTGACAACATTCTACGTGAGGGTAGAGCAACACGAACCAACATTGCTAATGATCAAAACCTGCAATAACGAAGTGAGTATTTTCTACGAGCAATTAACATATCCATAATGAAAAAATTATGTTATTAATCTTGTTCATTTCATAAGGTATTTGGTGCCTACTGCTCTACAAGATGGTGTGAACGCAATTTGAAGAACGATAAAGGACAAAGACAAGCTTATTTTGGAACAGGTGAAACATTCCTGTTTAGCTTATATCCTGAACGAGCAAAATACCCTTGGGTAGGCATGGATTCCTCACACAATGATTCTAAGGTTCATCATTCAGCCGAGCTATTCATGGCAGCTGATTCTAAAATGATAACAATCGGTGGAGGGTAAGATCTTTTACCTACATTAATACTTCCTTCAAATATTCATAGAGATCCACATTTATTTGCAAACTTCTATAAATTTATAAATTGCTAGATCTCTACGCTGTCATAACACAGAAGCGCTACTAGAGTAAAGTCGTACTTAAACTGTTAATCTATTGATTTTAGAGATGGACAAGCGATCTGGATGGATGAAAATATAAGATACGGTAAAACGGATCGGTGCTCTACATTCAATAATCCACCCCTTTGTGCCAGCGGCGACTTCGAGATTAGAGTACTAGAAGTGTATGGCTTTGCCGGTGCTTGAACACAAGACAGAACCGGGGTACTACGATGTATCAGTTTATTTAATTCCCTACTGCCATTTAGCAACTCTCTTCTATGTACACGGAGTTGTATGCATATACAAAAGTATCTTTGTAACGTATATGTGCAAAATTATCGCGCTGCTCACAACACGGTATCCACAGTTCTTCAGTTCTGTCTATATTGAGTCTACAGACGATGAAGTCATGAACAGACTCCGTATCGTCACATGTTTCCATTAATTTTTCGAATTGATCAGTACTTCCTCTCGGAATAAACAAATCTTTAGCTTCATAATATCGATTCCGCTTCTTCTCATTTATTTGTGGGAGAAACGTTTCTGTACCTAGATCCGTCTGTCAGTTGCAAACTCTACACTTCTAACAACTTTTCTAGTCTTTGGATTCCTCTGGAAATTAGCTCCAACGCTCATATTAAATTCATACTCTAATTCCAAGGAACGTTTGAACGGGTTCTTTGAAGATGTTTGACTCGGATTCTTGTTCTTGTTTGTTTTAATGACAACAGCTGGCAAATCTATAACTTCTTTAATAACTTGCGTCTCAGGAATTTCTTGATAGCATACATTAATACTTATGTTTGCAAATAGTTTTTGCGTCAAAATTTGCCTGCAAAGCTAAAAGAACTATTGCTTTGAAATATTCTGCATCAATCAAAGGCTACGTAGATTTATCTCTTATGTTTTATTATATGTTTTCTCGTTCGATTTTATGTCTCAACGTTCACTGCAATGACTTTGTGTTCATTTTGTCATCGATTTACTTCGAGCAATATATTATGGATTACAATTGACTCGCAACTGTAATCCGCGACATATTGAACATCGACAATAATCAACGTTGAGTCACCTTCAGTTTGTACATATGTAAGAAAAGATTGGTTATTTACATGAATACTTATTATTCATTGGACCAGATGCTATCATTATATATTTCTGTATATACGTTCATGGGTACATGTATCGTAGAATTATTTCACCGAGTCTATTAATTCGACATCAATACTCGTATACATGTGTTAATGTCTTGCAATGTTTGTTTACCTTAGTATTGTTATCGCCTAGCTTTAATTAATTGTTGAACGGAGGTGCAAGAGAACCGAAGGAACAAGTACTGTTCATATGTTACATGTTATGTCCGTCACGCGTTAATCGTGTATGTGTATATATACTATATACATACGTGAGGTTAATCTCATTTAAGTTCTTGTAAATAATATACATAGTGCCCCTTGCGTAGATAGACGCGCGTAAATAATTTGTACGCGTAGCAACACGTAATGTACAACGAGATTGCGAACGGTGGAAAATGACATCAAACGAAAAAAGATGGCAGGGGGCGAATGGTACTTTGAAACAACGACATTTTTTTATTTTCTATCGATGTTTACGTTTAAAGAAACGAAGTGTTGGCAGAGTCTTGCGATGGTTGGTCCTATTTCTATACCGCATAACGAGAAGCCATAGTTTTCACGTAGTATTTTAAGGATTTGTATATTTTATATAGCATACGTAAATTTATGTCAATAGTAGATTAAACGGTAGTACAGATTACAAATATGTGTACAGAGAAACAGTGCGGTTTTGCTTTCGATATATAGATATATATTATACATACATATATATATATTTTCATGTAACGCGTTAATTTTTTGTCGACACTCTTCGGGCATTCTGAGGAAGCGTATTAGGCGTTATTATTGTTGTTATCCTTCGTCTCTCTTTGTGATCAAATCTGTATCGGTACACGGTACACGATTAACTCTTAGAGTACCTGCTTCTGTGTTTAGTTTCTTGTTGTTATTTCTTTTTTTTTCCTTTTTGAGTGAAAGCTAAAGATATGGAGAATGAAACCGAGCGCGTGCGAGAAACTAAAGGTGTCGATATAATAGGATTCCTTGGTTGTGATGTAGAAGTGGCTGGCACCACTTTCGTCCGGACGACAATGCGTATTAATTATAATGTTTACGTAGAAAGATCATTAGGGATGTGTGGGTACACGAGACACGGGTTCGGGTTGGTTTCGGAAAAATTCTGGGGAAACCGAACGAAAAAAGGAATCTTTTTATGTACAAGATTTCGAAATTTCGAGAATACATTTGACTACGTCTAGTCATATTCGTGTGCAAGAAGATACTTTTATGCTCTCGTTCGATCCTCCCTGAATTTCTCTGAACCCGACCCTAATCTCTGGGTACCCGACATATCGGATTACCTCCACATTCCTAAAGATCAGGTATCTTTCACCCCCCGTCACATTATCGACTGCAGAGTATTGCGACAGGAAAAGCGTTGCATCGACTCTTATCACAGCTGCGTGTTAATGTGATGAAAGTAATAGGACACTTAAGAGAACAAAGCCTAAATATCGCTCTGTACACCAGTTAAGTCACTTCTTTCACTTTCGCGTGCTGTAATCTGTCATCGTTAGTTCACATTTCATATCGACTCTGTGTACAATCGTTAGCGATACAAACAAAATGAACAAACGACGTAACAAAGAACAATCAATTCTAGATACGACACTACGAACTCAATTCTAAATGTAACAAGTTACGATACTGGATTTTATGGTTGAATCCTTTTAAACGATCTACGTGTGCGTTAATACACATCCTCAACGAGTTAGCTCATAGCGAAACCGTAGACGAGTTACATTCGACGTTTTATAAGTCTGTAATATTACTGTCGCGTTCAGCGTAACACTAGGGAAAGAAAAAGGGAACATTACTGATCTCACTGGGAAGCACCCTCACGGGGTAGCCGTTGAATGTATCTGTTTTACATTATCAGAAATTTATGTGAAAACAGTGGAGTGAAGTTACCCGTTTTCTTAGTATCTTTTGCAAGATACTCATCCATATATACGTTAGAAAGAGCAAAAAATGTATATCGGCCAGAAGTATGAACTATGAAACACATTTACAAAATGGAACCAAGAGAAATTGAGTGGTTAACGGGGTTTAAGTTTGCGAAGACAGTGCGAGTAAATGTGCATTTTGTACAACGCGAGAATAGTTAAAGAAAAGGAGATTTGGCGTGCGTAGAGAGTTCCACACTTTAAATTATTGCATTATTAATTTATATTTATATGAATCATCTGAAACATTACCATTTAAATCAAATTCTTTATTTTCACGCTATATTGTCCTTTTCTTCGCCTATTCTAGGACTCTTGTGGAGAACACTATATCAAGTGATCGTAAACGCTGCTAGTAACGATTATTTTTCTTAATGTTATAGTCGTGTGATATGACTGAATGAATGGATATTTATTTATTGTATACTCGTGATCGAGAGAAAGATGATGATATGCTGAAAATGGAAAGTATTATTGTTCAAAGTTTTTAACGTAGCACAGCATAAAATTCACGCTAGGAAGTAATATATATATATACATATATATTACATATATACGTACATGCATACATAAATACAAATACATATAATAATATGCCTATAAACGACGAAAAATGAAAATAAACGTAATTGAATGGAGTGTTTTCAAGCTTTCCGCAGTGTTGTTATACTATATATAATATATATACATATATATATATATATATATATATATATATTGTAAGTTGTACCATTTCCGAAAAGAAATTGTTGCCTCTCGATGCTACTTTATCATATCATCGTTGTGAATAGAATATTGTTATACACAAATTTATTGTCCCGTTTATTCCTTCTATTTTAAGAAGGATATCTCATATGACATTCTTTATTATTATATAAATATATTGCATGTGACCCGAAGAAAACCAATATGTAAAACTAAATTATGATGTAAAATCTATTTAAAAGTACCCTGAAATCCTTAAAGTTGTCATAAATAAACAAATTTTTTTTATAGTTGCTGACTTATATATTGACATATCACTATTTCTTATATTATTATTTAATTAATGCTACAGCTTTTACATATTTGGTGTCGACGATAAAAATTGAAAGAATGTATTACCGACTCAGTTGCAACTGAACTTTAATCATGAACTGTACCGATAAAATCTGATTAAATCGTATCGATAAAATATCGACTGATGGTCGATAAAATACCGACAACTGAATTTTGTCGGAATGCATTATACCGACTAATCAATAATTTTATGTAGTAAATATGTAAACAAGAAACCTTATTAATAAAAATATTAATGATATTAGAATACATAGTATAATACTAATAATAAAATAGTAGTAATTGTAGTGTACGAATTATATATCTTCAGGAATGTTCTGGTAGGAATAACAATAAAAGTTATGATATACAAATGTTTTTGTATATTGAAAAATTGCAACATTAATTTATTGCAATATCCTTTATACTAACGTTTAATGAAAGAAGCCTACATTATGTTTGAGTGTACATAGGCGTAAGTAGGGATAACATATACGCGGGGTATACACACTTTCAAATTGTATCGTTTGTGTTAAAAAGGCGCCAGTATTGCACGCGCTTCGCTCCCAACAACTTCGACACTGTGTTACACACTCTTTACACGTTTCAATTACTTTACAAGTAATTTTACACTCAAAATTAGATATCTTTTCGAATTACGAATGAATTAGTAAAGTGTACACGTTAATAAAATAATTAAATTTAAATACATCTACAAAAATTTTGTGAAATTCACCATTTAAAATGAAGCGTGATCAAAGAAAATTGTGATAACTTTCTATTGTTGGGAGGGTAAGTAACCTTCTTAATTATCAAGTAAACAAAAATATAAATTTATGTTCGATAGAGTAATTGTATTCGAAAAAATATATTTCATATATAAATATATAAAAATTGAAAATAAAAAAAAATATAAATATATCCAAATTTTATAAAGAGTATTTGCTTTTATTTCTAATAATTTTTAATTATTTTTCGTGCACTGACTAGTGTCGTGTTTCATTTTGCGAGGGAAAATTTTACGCGGGAAACGCGGAAACTAAGAGGCCTAACTATCACAATAATGATGGAAATGCTCTCGGTGTGATAAAACTGGCTTCATTTTTGGTAAATTTCTCAAGGGTGGGAGGTATAGCCGTTACCTGAATAACACAGCCCGCATCTTTCATTGGATGTCGTCTCGACCTATATTTCGTTCTGTTAGTTACACGTCGCCCTTTCAGTTTCTCACTCCATTTTTTTTCTTCTACACTTACGTCACCTATGAAGTTTAAATGGTATAACTAATCAACCGACTTGTAACACATGTAAATTTATGTAGATGACATTTTGCCTATCTCTCAAACATAAAGTGTCATCGATAATACTTTTTACAAGTTGAAGTATATATTTTGTATAAAACAGCATAAACGGTATAATTGTACTTTGCAAAAATTTCCATCTTTTTACTTTACCCATCGACTGACAAACAAAATTGTTTACAAAATTTTATTTATCTGTCGTGTGTATAGCTTAAGATTTAAACGATAAACATAATTAACTGCTTGATACAGAGATTCACACTTTTTTAAATACTCATTACGTCAATATATGTTTCAAAATTGTACTGATTAGAATGGAAGTCGATTATTACGGTCGTAAATAACGAATTGCTGATATTAACTTACACATTTATGTTTTCGAGTAATAATATATACTATAGCATTCTTTTTTTGGAAAAATCACACTTATTTCGACGTAATACTGTAATAAAATTTGTAATTACTTACAGAACTTTAGACGCCTCTTGCGCTTGACAGTTGACGATCTACTGACTTCTGCGCATGTCTATTGCGCATCACGTGACTATTATCTACGAAATTGGCGGAAAACCGCGGTTCCTTGAAATGTTGAACTTTACGTAACACGATTATCGAATTTCTTGGTATAATAATAAAATTGAAAAACAAGATAATAACTTCTGTGGAAAAAAAATAAAACGATCACTAACGCTTATGATTATTAAATACTGATAAATTTATTTTTATTATTTATGAAACTTTTTATTATTCATTTACGAACGCTATATGAAAGTTATTTATACACATAACTAAAGTTTGATTATGATTACCTATAAAAATTACTAAAATCATTATATATTCTCTATAAATATGTAAACAAAAATATTTTGGTTAAGTCACTTATATTACCTGTACAAGGTAATCAACGATATCATAATTCTAAGAACAATATCCATTTTATCTGTCATATCGAATCGATTCTCTACAAACTGCAGCCATTAAATTATAATTATCGAATTTTCTGTAAGGCGTAGCGCTATAAATAACCGCGTAACAATGAATAATGCCACTGTGATTATCCTACAGAGTAGATTATAACTGTTTTTCATTTTTCTACATCCTGTTAGTAAGTCAATCGTTTCGAGACCCTCTTTCGAAAATTACATCGCTTTTATTAAAATCCACATGCATCGAAACTGTCCGCAGCTTCTTTCATTTTTTTTTTTAAGAGCCTGACACCGGTGGTCTACGTGCTCGAAATACAGGCTACAAGACGATGGCGAAAGGCCACGATTGATGGTACAAAGAATTCGAATCGCTTGGCACTGGCGTTCAAGGCACATACTTTCTCGGGATAAAGAATCAAACTTGCCTGCCTTTTCGATACATAAATAATGTCCGTCGGCCACGGTCAATTTATCGATTCTCGGAATCATTCATCATTACTCGTATTTATTGATTCATACATGGCCAGGAATTTATTCTTAAACGCGTTTGAGATATCGGTAGTTGCATTCTCATCTGATATCTTCGAGATAACTTTTTAATTGGGATAATTAACGTGCGGATCGCTTTAATTACTATAGCCTGCAATTAAGCAAGAAAGTATATTGTAATTCAAGGGTTTCAAAAATGAGATGTTGTGATACATGATCTCAGATCAAAACGTCTTTTGAAGCGATCAATTTTCGATTCAAGTACTTTGAAATTTATTTGTAGACAAAACGAATTTAACAAAGTACACGATATCTTTTAAAGGACTTCAAGATCTTTGAAACGACTTTACTTCCAGAACAACAGACATATCACTTAAATATCGATTAAGTGATGCCTTACGCAATGGAATTCACTTTTGTTTAATAACATCTCTCATCATTTTAGAATAGCTGAAGTTACATGAGACGCTTTGCATAATAAGAAAATTCGTATGAAGTCTAATCTGTGATGCGATGATTAATACCTGTCCTCAAGTGTACGTTGTTTGTTTGCTCGGTTTTCATTGCTATAAATTACAATAATTCTTCAGTAACTACTTTTGTAATCTCTGTTCTTAATCCCTGTGTAATTAAAACTTTAATGACATAGTATCCAAGGAAATATTACATTATTGTCAAGAGTTATTTTTAATTTTAAATTAAAAATTTAATGTGATAAATTTGCATATAGGTTTGCTTAATATTCCTGACACAAACAGGTTCGTTCAATAATTTATTAAAGGCACTCTTATTCCATTTTCGATTCAGTAGCTCTTTTAAGACTTTACTAATTGCTGTGCTAAACAAACCAATTAGCGATTAATTTATCTCTTTCATTTACCTTCGTCTAATTAAGTTTCGTTTTCAACTGTAACAAGCTGGATCGGCTAATTAAACGACCAAGTTAAAATTACATGAAATTTCTAACATTTGTAGTTTCAAAATAAAACTGTAAGGTAAAAGTACAAATTCTTTTTATGATTGACATCTTAATAATTGCAATTTGATGTCCAAGTTAAAATTACATAAAATGTCTAACATAATTATTTGTAGTTTCAAAATAAAACTTTAAGATAAAATTACAAATTCTTTTTATGATTGACATCCTAATGATTGCAATTTGATATTCATTATATTACAATATTAAAAAACAGTTAATTATGTCTACTCGCGATAATTCTTCCATTCCTTCTTTTTCATATTGCAATTTAAATCGATAAAATCTAAGAAATTTGTTTCTACCTCAAACACTTTTTTCTCTCTTACGTAAGTGATGCAATATACAGAAAAAGAAATCAAAAGTACATCTTGTTTCAGGAAACAGTACAACTGCACAACGAATAAATGCATACTAATTACGGTAATTACAGATTTTCTTCATAAATGACTTCGCTGGTCATAGAAGTACATAATAACGAACGTTATGATGTCTCAGTAGAGTTAGATAATAAAATTTAATCGTACAGTGTACATAAAGTCTCAAATTTTACCTTGAAAATTACTAAATTATCAAGCTACTTAGTTTATGTTAAGGTGGCAATATAACGAGAGTATCATAAACAATTTCACTCTATGAAGAATAAAGTTAGATAATAAAAATTAATAGTGCGGTGTGTGCATAAAGTCTCAAATTTTAATCTTGAAAATTACTAAATTACCTAGCTACTAAGTTCATGCGAAAGTGGCAATATAACAAGAGTCCTGAACAATCCGACTCTATGAATAATAAAGTGAGATAATAAAATTTAAAAGTACAGTGTGTACATAAACTTTAACTCAAACTTTAACCTTGAAAATTACTAAATTACCGAGTTCAGTCCATGCAAATATGGCAATATAACAAGAGTCATAAACAATCCACTCTACGAATTACATAACTACCAAAACAACCAGCAGTCACTCTGAAAACAATAATTAATTTGCTCAATTTGAAGAAGACACTCCACCAATTACAGAAGCTCAAAACACTCATCGTCTTTCGCAAATTCAACGTGTACAAACGTAGTCATGTAAAGTGCATAATTATCATCTGTTTTGTTCCTTTTTCAATTGAAAAGAACAAGACTTCGCTTTCAACGCGATAGACGCGAGGATCGTCTTTCGTGACTCGAACTCGCGGCTCTCCTCGCGTCGGTCAGGAAAGAAATGCAAAAATGCAAAAATGACGTACGTGCTCATTATCGGGATCATTGTGGCGCGGAAATAAGCCTTGGAAATTGATAAAACAAACGATTTAACACGCCGTTGCGCACACTCCACGAACGATAATCGGCCGGCCAGCAGCCTCACCGTTGATAAGCGATAATTCAGGAACATGTTACGCATATAATGTGTATGTGGAACAAGTTAGATGACAGTGAGTAATGAGGCGGGAGCGTGTTAATTACAATGATGCCGGACTTTCGATTGGTGGTCCAACAGGAAATGACACCCGCAGCGGTAAATTAATTCAAATCTTTTCTTTAATATCTTACACAGACTTCTCTTGTAATCTTTATCATTACGAGTTTTTTGTGGCAATTAGTGTACAACGGTGTATTGTTTCGATTGGTCGTTGAACTCGATATCAGGAATGGGCACTAATGGCTAATTAATTTGCAAATATTTACGTTCGATGAATTTTCTGGGTTTTTAAATTTCTGGTCCCGCAAATTTAATATTTTTATTATCGATGTTTCATTTTGTATATTTGCAAAATTTTAATCTTTCAAATTAGTCAATTTTGAAGTTTGTAAATTTGGATGCTTGAAAGTGTAATATTTCTATGGGCAGAAATTTCTTAATTTTATTTTATTTTAAAATGAGGGATTAGCGCGTGGGAAACAATCAAAACTCATCACGTAGACACTCAAACGATAATTGATCAATGAACGTCATTACTAATTGATAACATTTAATCGATACGGAAGTAGACACTTTGAAGCTCATTTTTTACCTGTTGTGATTTCTAGGTTTCTAAATTTTTAAGCTTCTCAAACGTCAAAACTCTCAGATTTTAAAAATCCGTACCTCGACTCTTAATTTCTCAAGTTTTTTAATTTCAAATTCTCAAGGTCCTAAAATTCTTAAATGATTAAACATAATAAACCTACATCTGCACATTCTTGAGCTAACCATCAGCTTAATAGCAATTTACAATCTTACTACCAAAAAGTTTATAACTTTCTTATCTGGATATTAAAATCAAAAAACTTCCCTTGAATTAACCTTAAGCTTGTAGTAATTAACTTAAACTCATACTTTCGTTACATTACATTTTCCTTGAATTTTAATTGAAAATCAACCAGCATTCCCGTTTAATTGCTACAAAGACCGTCGCACAGCATCGTCTACCCGGTTACTGAAATATCAATTGCATTCCCGTTTCATAATTATCCTAAATTTCTCCAATTACCGGTGAACATTACGACACGGCTAATGCGTTTTAAACGCTTTCGTTTATCGCTGACCTACGCTGACAAAGAACTCGTTAATTACCTTGTTAAGTGATTCAACGGGCCATGATTTCACGTGTGTGCCAGCTCGCCATCTGCGCTAATTTAGAAACGACACACGCCACGTTTGATCCGACTCGTTAAGAAGGGCAAATGATGGAATAGGAATGAGTAATATGCACACAATGGGAGTGTGTCTAGCGGGCGGCATACAAAGCGCCGTGGAGCATGTCAAATAAGGCAAGATAACAACAAGCATACACGCCGGTTGAATAATAATTGCGTACGATACCTGGTGTGAACGTACCGCCGCAATTGTGGTAGTAAGGACAGAAGATTCTATCGATTCTCTTTCGTAACGCCTCCCATGATCACCATAAAGGGAGGATGTTCGGACCTTGAGCCCTGCTTCAAGCAGTATGTGGTCCACAGCTAATTTCCATGTGCCTACAATTAATATATTTATAATTTTTGTCACAAAACCTTAACTAGTATAATGATTATTTAATTAAATTAAAAATGTATTGAAACCTTGAAGTGCTCTTCTTCTCACAAGCAGACTCACATGTGGTCCACAGCTATTTCCATATGTCTACAACTAATATAATTATAATTTTAGTCACAAAATCTCAACTAGTATAATGATTATTTAATTAAATTAAAAATTTATTGAGACCTTGAGGTGCTCTTCTTCTCACAAGCAGACTCACATGTGGTCCACAGCTATTTCCATATGTTTATAATTAATATATACAATTTTAGTCACAAACTCTCAACTAGTATAATGATTATTTAATTAAATTAAAAGTATATTGGGACCTTGAGGTGCTCTTCCCCTCACAAGTAGGCTCGCATGTGCTCCACAGCTAGTTTCCATATGTCTACAATTAATATATTTATAATTTTAGTTATACACCCTCGACTAGTACAATGATTATTTAATCAAATAAAAGTATACTGGTATCTATAAAAATGCTTAGAAATATATAAATAATGAGTTAAGAAATATATTGTGCACGTGTATTACTTCGTTTAAAAACTAGTTGAATTATAATTTTTTGAAAAGTGAAATTACTGAGGACTGATAAACTTCACCGTACGAGTTACGGGTTAAGAAAAATACTGGCGGTCAGCTATTTAAAACCGATTCGTAATTTCGTAGATAAACTTGACTAAAACTACTTTCCATACATATTAAATTCAAGGTACATATCGAGTAACTACTCTAATTTAAATTATTAATTAACATCACGTCGCTCTACAATTCTAAAAATTTTCAACTCTCGAAATAATCAGCCAAGCCAAAAATTTACATTAAGATACCTCAAGCAACAAGTATTTAAAGTGTTAAAGTTCCAAGAAACTGATTATTTCGTTCCTTTTCCATACGCGTAAAGGAGAATTTATACCGAGAAATGAGGTGTCATGTTTTTTTTGGTTAACGATCATTAAAATTCTTTAAGCCTGAGAAGCCTGAATGGCACGAACACACAGAGGATTCCTCGATGTCTGGACTCGTTGGATCTCTACGCGGCTTGGAGGACAATACTGGGAACATAACGCAGCCTTATCGCAGAAACAGCCTTGCCTTATCGCTGCATTCGAATTTAGCTGCCTTTCCGGTTGCTAACAATCAAGAAGTCTCGCCTTTCCACGTGGTCGACTCCGCGCGGAGGAGATTCAGCAATGTCAGCGATGTTGTTACCAGGAAAATATCTCATACGATACGGTGGAGGACTGTTTCAGCTTCTGTTGAGCTCACGGTTTCTCAGGTAGCCATATTATGTCACTGTAATTTAAGTTTCACGATTAAATAACTGCAATTCTGATATTTGGAAGAGATACATGAAACGGGTCCTTCTTACGTATTTTAGTACCTTGAAGTGTATAACAGCTAAGCATTCCTCACAATTAGTCAGTACTTTTAGACTAGTAATGATAGATACAGTAATTAATAGGTTCGTTGGGAACAACGTGAATTATTAGTTTCATAAGACAGGATCCTTTATTATCAGTCCATAGTGTCTTCAGTATACTTAGGTCCATAGTAGAGCCTAGCAGACAAATTTTTTAATTCTCAAATTTCCAAACTTCAAAATCATAAAAAGTTTAATATTTTCGATCGGACGTAATTTAAACTAACTTCTGGCAGGGATCTTCATTATGCGCCCAATACATTCGAAATCGTTTAAAACGATCTGGGATCTTTCACCGGAAGCTTGGACTAAAGAGAATGAGAAGCGTCATGCTGCTTCCCGGGGGAGCGATTGTAGGAGAAGTTTATCCAGAATTAATATCGATAGGAGCTGAGCTTGAAAAAATGCATCCGAACTTATTCAACCGTGTAGCACGACAAATTGGATGTGGTAATTTCTCCTCTGAACAATCAGCCAGTGAGGCCATCGTCGACGTCTCCAGGGAAATGATCAGGAATGGAGAGATGACCTGGAGCAAAGTAATAGCCCTTTACGCGATTGCTGGTGGCATTGCAGTGGATTGTGTGCGTCAGGGAAAACCTGAATTCCTACCTGCCATACAAAGAGGTGATTAACTGTTTTAAAATTATAATAGAATTCGTTGTTCCTTAAGAGTAGGTAAGGTTGAATAAAATTAATCAAATATCAGTTGGTACGTTTCTTAATTCCAGGCATGACGGATGTTCTGGAGGAGGATCTCGCTGTGTGGATACAGGCCAATGGAGGATGGGTAAGAAACGAGTTGATGTATTTTGTTCTGAAAATTTGAACTAGTTTTAAAAATTATTCAGATTTATTCAGAATTATTCAGATTTTAGAGTACAAAAGTACGCATATTAATATAAACTTTCAACTCAATGAAATTGAAACAATATGTTTTAAGATAAGATGTATTGTTCATTTCAGTCCGCTTTAGCAACACGATACAGGCCTCCCACGAAAGAGACGCCGTGGTACTCGTGGAAACTTGTACTGTTATTTATGATTACTATCTTAATAATCGCCACGATCTCGATATTTTTAAAACTATTAGTTTTGTAATATGTAGTAAATATAATTATATAAAAACTTTTCAAACATCTTTGAATTTAATTAACCTTTTTATAGCGAAACTGTTTGTAATGTTGCTTATTTTATATTAACAATTAATAGACTTTTCAAATGAAACATTTTGCAATACTGGTTGGTTGTATTTCAATTTCACATATTTTAACAAATAATTCGTATAAACGTAGCTAGTGTTTCGCTTTCACATATCCATTTCTTGATCCAAGGTTTCCTGCTTTTGTATTTCTGCTGCTGGCAAATCGATTTCATCTGGTTTGTAGGTAGGCTTTTTGGTAGCTTCCTAGTGAAAACAGTTTCTCACTAGTTAACAAAAATATGTAATATTAAGTGCATAAGTTGGAAACTGTGCAATATTGAAATAAAATAATTTAATGTACTTGTGATTTAGCAACATTAGCCATATATGCAAGGAAACTTTGATTTGTCTCTTCCTTTTTAATAACTTGAAGATACTTCTTTCTTGTATTTAATACCTCATCTTGATATTTCTTGTGTCTGATTGCTAATTCTAATGCTCTGAAAGAAGGTACAAAATTTTATTAGTGATCTGTAAAAAGGTATGAAGCTTTAAGAAACCCTGAGTCCTAATAATAAATTAACAGAATGGAAAATACCTATTCCAATTGTATACTTCAATATTAATTCGTATAGCTTCTTCAATTAATCCATTTTGTAAAAGTATGCCTTCTGCAGTTAATAAGTCCCCTGACAGCAGTGCCATTTCTGCTAACCTCTCAGTTTTATTTGGTAGACTCTTTAAATAAAAAATTAATGATTAATTTGTAAAACAAATATGTCTTCAAGTATTACCTTAATGTACTGAATATAATCGACTTTATCGTATCTGGAGATTGCTGCGTATGCTTCTTCAGCAGCATCTAATTCTTTGTCATCAGTCGCCATAACGGCCATACAAGTCCATAATATTTCATTCTAAGAATAATTTTTTAATTTTTAATAAATGTTGTGAAGAGAAATAAACTGATATTAATTACCTGAGCAATTCGACAGAGGGACAATGCTTCTTTCCATCTCTTATTTAAAATATGCTGCTGAAGACTAATGAAGAAAGTATAAAAAGAAGAAGCTACTAATGCTCCATCACCGCGTCTTACCATTACCATACCATTATACACGTTTGCTATACTTGGTTGCTTACCGAATTCACTAAAAATGTTAACAAGAAATTATTTTTAATAAGAACAAATGCATTATGTCTCATAAAATGACATGAATAGTGGTACCTGCTTTCTTTATCAATTCTTGTTTTTCGTATAATTTTACGATCACTATAGTGCACACAGTTGGGACACAGCCATACTGACAATGTTGCGTCCAACATTGCCGCTAAAACATTTGCATCGGCTGCCCATGCGATGTCCTGTGTCATAGCCGCTAAAAATAAGAAATAAGATTATAAAAATATTGTAACTCTTACAATATTGTAATATTGTTACTCTGCATTAAATGTACTTTAAAAATACATACCTATTTTACATACTCTCCCAAAGCCAGTAGTACGTATAGACACCAGAAACAAATCTTTATTTGCATCAATTAATGCTACTTGTCGATCAACTAATCCACCAACATGATTCAATGCAACCCTTGTAATACTTTGAAGATGCGTGTAAGGTTGACTTTCTACTATAGGTTTATTATAAGCCACTTCCAAAACATGAAGCACTAAAAGATAATGTTTGTAAATGTGAATGTACATCATCACTCAAAAGTATTTGTTCATTTATCTTTTTACATGTTCAAAAAATATGAATATTGTTTAGCGATAGGAAAATACTTATAAGTAATGGTGTATAGAAATATTCTCTTGTATATTTTTTCATACATTTTTCGTTGCTCTGTGATCTTATAACTAGAGTGTCAGAACACAATGATATGCATAACGGGTAAAGTCGTTCTTGCGTCATTCCCTTCCATTTTGGAGTTCCTAATAGCCTGCCTTGATAACTGTACAATAATACACTACTCCACTCAACTAATAAAAAGTGCCTGTAAAATAATACATATGAAATTTTCACTTTAATTTCCTTTGTAGCATAATGTAATTGATATGTACTTCTCCGCTAAAAGCACCGCTGATATACTAGTATTCTTCAAATCGAATATAGCAGGTGTATTCCAGTTTGTTACCGAGTAAATGTGACACTGTGCAGGTGTAATAACAACTAAATGGTCGAAACCGAACTCTAATTGCACTACTCGATCAGATATCTCCAGTGTCTCTCGTATTTCATTACCAACATCTCTGATTTCAATTACTTTTCTCTTAACTAATGTAGCTTCATAGTTGTTCCATTCCAATCTTCTGTTTTTGTAAAATAGATATAGTCATTGTAAATGCAGTATTTGGTAATATCAGGAACACATTCATTGCGAATTCAATATCTAAGAGAATTCAGTTTCAATGTATTTTAATACCTATCTATTATGTGACCTGTTAGTACTGTTCCATTGCTGCAAGCCATAGCGACTTGAGTGCCATCGCTCGACCAGGCAATACTGTAAATGCTTCCAGAATTGACTTTTTCTAATGAATGAGACCACTGAAAAATATGTATACGTTAGTGGAAAAGAAATATGGACATGTAAATAATAAAAGAAACAAACTAACTCCTGTTCTATCACAAAGTTTAACTGTATTAAATGATCCAACAGCAAAATAGTTTCCAGAGTGACTCCAACTCACTGCTGTAATAGGATGGTCTCCTGCATTACTAGAGAACAGTTGAGTGCCATTAGGATCCCACACCTTGAAAAGAGTAAATTTTTCATTAACATGATTTAGTTTTTACTCAACATGTATATATACCTTGTATCTACAATCTTCTCCACCAGAGATTATTAATCCATGTGTATGATTCCAGCATAAAACCAAAATGAGACCATCATGTGCTAATAACTATCAAATTTTTGTTCAAGCATCACTATTAATTACAAACAATTGTTTAAGTTTAAAGAAATGCTTTACCTTGCGAGGTTTAGAATTAGAATTAAGTGACTGGAAAGTTAGATAAACACCCTGAGAATATGATACTGTCATACAATCTGGACTCCAAGCAGCTGATAAAATGGGAAATGTTCCTCTAACAACAACAGAACGAAGCATGCCACTGCGTGACCAAACTTTTATCAAACCATCTTCACCAGCTGAAATTAGAGCAAAATATTAATTAAACAATAATTAGTTCATTTGAAATATTTCTATTACCAGTCAGAAGTGCAGAGCCATCACTGCTCCATCTGCCTACAGTAGTTGCTCCTTTATGAGCATCTACACTCTTTTCTATACGTCCATTTTTATTCACTAAATGATACTTTCCTGTAATAAACATATCAATGAAACAAAACTATTACACGTAACAAAGAAGTAACATTGCTTTAGAATTTTCATTGTATGCATTTTGATAATTATAATTATTTAAATACCATCTGCTGTGGTAATTAAAAGTACATCTAATGATTGCTTCTTAGTAATTAACAGCGCATAATTCGGTCGTGGATGCCATTGCATATCAGTAGGATAAAAATCATCAGGAAATTCAGTGACAACGTTAGAATGTGCAATTCCACCTTCTAAGTGCCAGGATATTAATAAATGATCCTCGCTGTAAAAAGAAGATGATCTATTATAGTAACTTACATAATTTGCTATAAACAAATAAACATACCCGCAAGAATAAATTTCTTCTGCAGAGCTCCATGCTACACATGTTACCAAACGTTTATGACCATTACGGTTTTGTGCAGATATTTTGAATCTCATTTTACACTTTCTATCACCTTAACTGGTATGCAAATATATACACAAATTCCTTTGTGCTTTCATGCAAGATTACTATATATTTGGCATTGTGTAAAGTAAACATGCTATACGTGTACAAATTCGATCCTGTGCAAGGTTTTGTAGTGTTTTGACATATGGTTACTATAGCAACAAGATATATTCACATGTACAGGCATCTTTATGTCTATGCTTATATGATATACTTTCATTGCTTATACATTATAATTACTACATGCAGAGTATAAAATATAGATTCAATAAAAAATCATCAGGTGAAACCCAATTTTACACATGTTTATTAAAGCTGTCTCAATACAATTCATTATTTTTCATTAGCACAACCTGATATTCCTCCCCATAATACAAATAAATCCATGAGAAACCGGTAAAACCCTCATAGGGATACCAGTACCCGGACTTCACAACCTTTTCTTTATATTTTATAAACGACGGTGTCTCATAATGTTACAAACGTTTTTATCAACGCGATGCAATGCCGGCATTGGAAGATATCGCTTACATTGAATGCAATGTAATAATTATATATAAAATAGAACATTTTGGAGATAACGCTCAGATCTGTACAACCGAGAATTATACATTCATCGTGTAATATATATAAATTGTGTAATATACATATATTCACGTATATATATATCTATTCATGTAGATCTATATAAATGTACATATACGTTAATTTATATCTTATACATATGCTTACAGACTTTTGCGCAAATTTCGCTGATGAAGAGTTAGGATAGTTGGTCGCATGAAGGTAAACGATTACCTGTGAATAGGTAACAGAACATTATATGATACGAACGTAATGACAAGACCCATGAAGAAGAAAATAAATTTCGAAATTCAACAGATAGGACATGTTGCATTCTTATACGTGCGAACTTAACAATTGCTCAGTGTACCACGTTCCCCATCAAGGAACAACCGTGCATTTTTTTTTCTAACATATAAATGTCACACACGTAGGTGCTCCCAAAAACAGCTTAAAAATTTCACACTGTATCTGCAGAAAATATTATTGATTCTATATTATTTTATCAAAAATAAATGCATTAAAATTTCACCCCGATAGTGACTTACAGATGTAACATCGATAAGAATTAATTATGTAAGAAAAATTTGATAAGACTATACAATATAAAGCTTTGAGAGCTTCTTCTAGAAATACAGTGAGAAATATTCGAACTGTGATAACAACTATCCCAAGAAACACTCTGTACAGAATATATATTAAAACTCGTTTGATATCGCGTAACAGTTCAGCAAAAAAAAGAAAAAAAGTAAACGCCTCCATGATATTTACATTTATGTCGCTACATGGCTCACTTTCTCGATTAGTTCGCTTATTACAATTCTTAATTAGTACGCGTTATTATAATATCATTATGACAAAATCCTATTTTATCTATACGTTTTGATTAATACGTAACCTTGGCTCATCATCTTTGATAAAGGACACATTTTCTTTTCTATTCCATCAAATTCGAGGCGATATTGATGATCATGCTATTAATATATTATTTTACAATTAGAAGTTATTATACGGTGTCGATAAATATCTGCAATGTGCATCTTCTGTATTTACAATTTGCTCTAATTAAAATCCTTTACATCCTTATTGTTTCTTGATATAAATAATATAGATATCATTAATGCTACGGCGCTCCTTATTCCTCATCAGTTCTTTTTTTTTTGTTGTTTTGGTATAGGAACCTTTTCGACTCACACATTATCGAGCTTCTTTCTAACCAACTCTTCTAATACTGTTAATTTTCAAATGATCCGGACACAACTTGTTTTCAAATGGCAGCGCTTATGATACTTCTAACAGCATACATACATACATATACGGTCAGATGCAACGTATCCTTCTCTTCCTTAAGACGAAAAGCTTAATGTAGCATGACACACTTTTCTTACATTTCTCCTTAGTTAAGAAAAGACTAAGTCACACATGACCATATGTTTACGCATACACACCGTATTTGAAAATCACCCTATCTGCCAGTTGCGTTGATTGGCATGCGATTATTATTGCAATTTTCATTATATTAAAAGTAATCGCAAAGAAATCTTCATTGCAATATTATCACTTTAAGCTTTACAATTTGTTCAACGACTGATGCTTTAATACCTTATGACAATAAAATTAGTTGTCTCTAAAATATTCTTGCATTTGGCCAATAAAAAATTTCACATACAATGTTGCAAAGTTACAATACTGCAATATTATACAATTTTTCTGCAAGCAACTTTGAAATATAAAAAGAATTTGTTTACTGTTGTATCACTTGCGAGAGTTTAAATGTACTTTCTGAAGAAGTCACAAAGAATATTATGAACAAATATCTTGCTAACAAGAAATAATACTTGCAGTTGCCTTCACATTTTTCTTTGTTCGTATCTCTCAATACATGATTCTATAAATTTTTTTTTAAGACGACTCAATAAAATAATTCACTTTCCGCTGAAAGTAGCTATAAATGTTCCAAGACACAAAACCATGTCCTGTTACATAAAATGGTTCTACAAAAGTGTGTAAATTACGAATTAATACATAATTACAGATCCTTATGTACAAACATACAGTCTCGTCATGGAATGGTATGACACTATATGTATACATACAATAATTATTACTTAGTTTAAATACCCTTACAATTGTTTCTTTGCGACTATAATACAACCATTATACTAAAAAGTTCATATTACTGGCGAACATTGAACAATGTCGACGATGACGTACACGTATAGTAAATAATATCATTCGTTAAAATTTTACGATTAAAATCACGGATTTAAATTTATACAAAAATTTAATGACGTACGCTGTTCGTAGGAAATGCTTTAATATGCACAGTGATGCAGATAATATAAACAGATCGATCATTAAAACAGAAGTTTGAGATCAATGAAGAACGATTAGCAAAAATAAAAAATGACCACTACATTTTTTTCTTCCGAGAGCTTAAGCAGACTTAAAGATAGCAGAAAGATGTTTTTACAGAAAGAAGCTCAGTTTAACGCGTGACTGTTTCTACGCCTTAGGAACACCCTACTGTTGACCGGATACACTCTGGTCAACAGTATCAACGAGCTGCCAAGTGCCAATTTAACAGGAGCCTGTCTACCACCTGGTAACCTGATAAAGACTGTGGCTACAGCTGCAACGCCGTCATCAGTAGGCTCAACCGCCACCGGTTTCACATCACTGTGAAAGTTAACTAATTTATTACGTCTACTTTTCCGCTGAGGTGAACTTGGACTACAGTCGTTACCATCACGATCGTAAATGATGGTAGCCGAAGCGAAAGGTCTCTTAGCCATATGTAACATCTCAACAACGTGTCTTCTACGTGCTCTACGTACATCGGCGGCTTGTTTCGTTTTCCAAGCAACTACGCAGGCGGCTAAGAATAAAAAGAAACAGGAGAAGAACACGGAGAAAAAGACAAAAAGGTCGATATGAAGTTGATCCTGTCGGAAAAAGATCATCCCGTACGCGGCTCGTGCACTCGTCTCCGGGTAAATGGGATCAATTGCTCTCAACGCAATATGGAACTTCGTTTGATGAAGTTCGTGTTTATCTTGCGGTAAAGTTAACACCAAACGATTTGTGAGGTTCCTTACGACCAAGAACGTGTTTCTGTTCTCGATTGTTAAAAAAGTAGCCAAACCTTCTGCGTAGCATTCCATCACGATGTATTGAGGACCAGTGTTCCAGGTTGGCTCTGTAGTGGTAGCATTGGGTGCGAATAATGTATTTCGCGGATGGAATTCGACGATTCTCATTCGGCTACGTGTATGTTCGTCCAACCACGTACTGTGAGAGTCTTTATGCCACACAAATCTGCGGTCCAATTCAACCTGAAGATAAATTGATATCAAGGTAAAATAGTGCAAAGGAACCTCGCTATCCTAAAGGAAATATTTGAAGTACGTACATCTTGATAACCTGTTGTTGAGTTTAAAGAAACAACGAAAGAATCATCACGAGGGCTGAGAAATAGATCTAGAGCTCCTTGAGTTACATCTACCATAACTCTAATATCTACGTTCATGAAACGAGGTTGTATCATATAAAACACCGTTTGGCCGGGATTCAATGGTTTTGGCTTCATTTTACACTCATCTGGAATAGATTAAGAGAATGTATTATCATACACAATGTATAAATATTAATCAGAGACACTTAAGTCATCGTGAGAGAAGTACGAACCATAAGATCCTTCAGATATAATAGAATGTAGCAATTTAAGAAAAGTAATACTTAATTAAAGTGCATAGTGCACGAGTATAATGGATGTATATAACAGAAAAAACTTGTGATGAATATAACAGAAACTTTTGTAGTGAAAATATGAAGGAAATTGGTGAAATAGTACAGTACAGTCGCTTAGTGAATAACTTACCTATTAACTTAGAGTCAAAACACATTTTGTTATCGGCAGTCACTGTTTTGTAACACTGATGTCCCATTGTTGGCGTTCCAGCATAGTTTTCTTTACACTTGCTGCATTGTACCATCCAGCATGGTGGACCGCCTGTATTTGAACCTTTCATAGGACCGCTAGCACAGGCTGGTTCACTTTCTGTATTATTACCACAATTACACTTTTCACCGGTTACAGGGTCGCAAGTGAATCCATGCCCATGACATTCACAGCTACAAATTTTGGTAAAGTAACACATTAATATAAATACTATCTAAAAAGGAAAACTTAGGGAAAATACTAACGGTCGACAGACAGCACGAGGATCTTCCGTTCCTCTAAAATAACCGGTCATGCATTCACCACATTTATCACCTTTTGTATTATTACCACAATTGACACATTTTGCTTTGGCTACCGGACCTTCGACCAATTGCTTCTTCAAAAGTTCTATAGACATTTTGTCAATGGAATTTGGATCCTATAAACAGTATCTCATATAATTCATTTAATTCTTATGCATAGTTTAAAAATGTCAAATTAACTTTGAAATTACCGGTACAGTCATGCTTTCGTTAATGCAAATTCGCGTATGCCCATTACAATACTCGAGGCATGGTACGCATTGTCCATTATCAGCTGGATTTCCAACAAATAATGGCAAACACTTGTCGCATTGTGGTCCCATCGTGTTATTATGACACTTCAAACAGACGTCTAATTTGTCTGGGCCCGCACAATTACTGTGACCATTACATTGGCACTGAATGGAACAATTAGCACCTACGTAACCGAAGTCGCAACGACAAACATTTGGTTCTACGCAAGTTCCTCTAACGCAACCTTGTGTACACATTGGTACACAAATTTTTCTAAAAGTGAAATATTTATACGTCAAAAAATGATCGTGACAACATTATAAAATAGTGAATTTAAAATTAAAATCTCACCTTCCAAATTCATTAAACGACGACGGACTGAAAGAAAAATAAATTATTCGTTTATTAAAATTAATTATACTGGAGTTAATCAAAAGGAAACAAACTTACGTTTCAGTTTTATAACCGTCACCACACATGCATTCAAATCCTTCTTCCAAATTGAAACACTTTTCACTTTTTGGAGAACATGTATGGTGCCCATTAGTGCATTCGTCTTCTGGAGGACACCGTACATAATGCCAAGAAAATACCGGTTTTGGAGATGCATGAGGAATTAACATTGTGACATTGTCTGGTTCCGCCAAATAGTATGGGAATATTGTAGTTATGAATGCTGTAACCATTTAATTGAATTAGTGTCAATAAGAAAAAATAACAATTTATTTTTACGTACGTGGTTCGGTTTGAGGGAATTGTTGGTAATATAACATTTCACATGTGCCACCAGCTGGATGATCTGTAGGTGCTTCAAGTGAACCTTCTGTACATATTCCTTGACCAGTTATATTAGCTGAATCTAAAGAACACCATCCACAGTGTGAATGTTTTAAACACGTGCTACATTGTTTAAAAACAGAACACGGTTCGGGACAATGATCCATATCCGAACTGCGCAACACCAAACCGCATACGCCTCCAGCACAGTAGAGAGGTTGATATGATGGAGAAATGCACTGGAATTTGTTAATGATCAATTAAGGTAATGTCGTAACGATTTCATTAATATTTTTAAAAATATTTCATTTACTTCATTAAGTTGAGTCGACCATCTACATTCTCGCCAACCACCTTCCGCCCCTGTACCCTTTAAACAGCTTCTGCAATCTTTGTGATCCGCACATCGTTTTTCGCATTGCGTACTTCCCATTTTAATGCTTGACCTCTCGAAAATGTAATCTGGTACACAATTCCAATCGTATACCGGTTCGCCCGTTACTGCCAATCCTAATGCAGCTATAAATATTTATAAAAATTGATGAATACTGTTAATAAGTGTTGTTTCACTTTTTGATTGTTGTTCAAAACTTACATGTTTTTAAAACCTGTCTTGTCCATACGCAACCTTCAAGACTATTACACTTCTCACAATCACTTGCTGGACACTGTCGTTCACCGCACTGATTTACATCTGTCATAGATATCTGTCTGATGCTGCATTTATTTAATTCATCACAAACTTTTTCAGATGGTATACACTTTCCATTGGGACAGTTTGTGCACCATTTACATACTGGTTCCTCATTTTTATAATACGGCCATTCTGCTAAACATTCTGTGCAAGTTTTAAAATTTTGACATTTCCTGCTAGCCATCCATTCTGAATTACAAAATATCCCATTCGACCGTTGAGCTTGGGTAACATTAATATCGCATCTAAATTAAAATGGAGATTACTTTAGTATCTTAAAAACAGATGTTTAACATATAATAAATATTTAATATATGATGAATAAAACCAAAATTATTAGTTTAATTAGAGTACAATATTTACCTATCATCTTTGTTAACTGATACTTCATTAGAAAAACAGAAAGAAGCATTAGTCCCACTGATTGTGATAACAGAGCAGAAAGAGCATCCAAAATACTTTCTGCAAGTTATTTTATCTGTCCAAAGATTACATAGATCTTCAGGAATGCTTATTAGAGTGACGTGACTTTTGATTCCACCATCAAAACCACCGACAACGTACACAGCGTTAGATTCTGGATCAGCATGAGTCATTGCATGAGCATATGCAGGCGGCGGTGGACTCCCAATAACTTCCATATCTTTTGTTATTAAACGAATCCACAAATTACAAGAATATTTATACGCGATCAACGAGTCAGAAGTATTATGTGGATTCTGACGACCACCAAATATTACCATGTACTCATCGGTGGTAACTGCAGAATGAAGAAATCTAGCTTGTGGCTGTAATAAAACATCATCCATATCAATTTTTATATACTCAGAAGTATAATTAAGTTATCGTTTACTTACCAAACTATTTCCATCGGTAAGATCATCGTCAAACGGTGGAAGCGCAGACCATGTCCGAGTTTTATAATTTAATGCGTATAATTTATTAGAAATAAATGTTCGGTTTATCGCGTAAGTGTATCCGCCAAAAATATAAAAGCTATCTGACTTGCTATGGTATACGGTCGAATGCCCATAAACACCTAATGGTCCATTCCCAATTGTATTTATTGTATCCCAAGTTTCCGTCTCCAAATTGAATTCCCATACCGTGTCAAGATACCCATACTTAGGACTGAATCCTCCAATCAATATCAGACTTTCCGATTCTCCACTTCTACGCAAAGTTAACGTATGCCCAGCTAATGGTGGCGGTTCCTTCTTCGACTCATCCTGCATAATTTGCATCCATCTCTGATTTTGCAAACTAAACTTCCAGAAATCGCTCAGAGTGTTGTTCGACAATCCTTGAATGTCTTCTTCTTTCATGGACAATCCACCATAAACATATATCTGTTGTCTACTGTGGACAATCTCGGCTGCATGGAAATATCTACCTTGAGGCATAGAAGCTTCTGAAGTGGATTCCACGGTAATTGGCATCCACGTGTTATTTTTGGTATCGAATAGCCTGATATCATTTAGAGGACCATGACTAAGAGAATATCCTCCGAACATCCATAGACTACCCCTTCTGTCGGCTACCAACGTGTGACCAAATCGCGGCAGAGTTTTTCGAAGATGATCCAAGTGATCGGCTAAGTATTCAGAGTTAAATAATTCAGTGAATATTAACTGATGTTCCTTAATCTTAATCGAGCAGTCGCGTCCTCCGAAACCAGCTGTGCAAACACAACGTCCATAGCCTTTATCGCAAACTCCTTGTTTCTTAGACGATGTGCAATTGTTAGGGCATATTTCGATGTCGCAATTGATTCCTACAAAACCGGTTTTACATAAACAGTTTCCGTTACGACATTCCCGATTGCCAGGACAATTATTGCAAGTCATTATCAAGTAACTTGCGTTAAACCCCTCCACTTCGTCTAGCTGCTTGTAATGGACGGTAAGGAAGCCAGATTTAGCTTCCACGGTTACAGGGTAGTCTGTGCTTTCTGTACAATAAACTCCGAGAAGTTGGCTCTGATGACTGGTTGACGATGAAACAAATTCAGGAAGTCCATCGTACACATAAACGCTGTTCTCCTGACAGCTAACATTGATATCGCTGTGTATAGTGAACTGTATCACACTCTGCGTTCCTGAAAGCATAGTGTCAGACGAAAGATCCGTTTTTGGACTAACTATCCAAAGACATTCTCTAGTTGGTGAATCTCCAAAATGACTTTCCCATAAGGATAACTGTGAGTGTCTGCTACCAAGACCTTGTTTACCAGCTCCTTCACCTCCAAGCATACCCCGTGACATACAACCATAATAACACATTCCGCCGTCTCTTGGATCACCGTAATAGCCCTTTTTGCAACGTTGACACATATCCCCTTGAGTATTATCTCGACAGAAGCATACGCCAGTTTGACGGTCACAAATTCCCAGATCTTTGTCTCCGTGTTCATTGCAGTTACACTTTTTGCAACCCAGCGGTGTTGTAGCATTACCATAACTACCAGCTTTACATTCTGCACAGTATCTACCAGTAGTCCAATCTTGGCATTCGTCGCAAATACCTGGCCCTTGTACGCAAGTGGAATGATTGTAACATCCACAATTTGTTCTGCAATCTGGACCTGTCCACCCAAGGTAACATTCGCATTTATAATCAGGAGCTTCGCTGCAGTAACCGTTGACACATTTTTCGTAACAAGTTTTTGTGCAATTCTCCTTGCCGTCGCCGTTGAAACCTCTTTTACATTGACAACTGAAACTACCATGAGTATTAGTGCACACTGCATTGGGATGACAATCGTGTAGCCCTAGATCACATTCGTCGACGTCTGGACATTGAGCATAGGCCCAACCAGATTCGTCAGACTCTAAAGTAGTATTTTGATATTCGTTAATGACTAAGCTACAATTGACGTGTGGTTGATTGAAGTCTCCCTGTACGCATGCCCCCATGATCGGATTTTCTAAACTGTAACACCAACCGCAGCTCAACGAATGTAAGCAACTAGAACAATTCGTGTGTCGACTGCAGCTTTTGCACTGATCGTTGCCTGTTAAAGATGACCCAGACCTCGATGTCACTCCCATAAGACCGGCTTGATCCATCCATTCCCGGCATAAACCAAACTGGTACTCAGATGTGTATACCGAGAAAGAGAAACACTCCTGTGTGGCTTCACACCAAACACATCTTCCACGTTCGTCCAAACACTGCGTGCAATTTGAACGTTGTCTACATGGGATTGGACACTGATCAAGACTAACGACTGCATTAGGTAGTCTGCCTATTCGAGCACAACGAGCTTCTTCCGTCCACCATTCGCATAAATTGCTACCAACACATGATTCGCACGATATATAATTGGAACAATTAGCACAAGTTGAAGGAGTGATGGTTAAATAATGCCATTCACGAATTGGATTGCCATCTTCATCCCATTCCATGTCGGCTGCACAACTTTCTGTTTCATTGATGGAACGCGAAAGACATTTGTTAATAATGTCACACCAACCACATGAAGAATCAGTTAAACAATGAAGGCAATTTTTGTATTGATGGCACGATCCATTTTGATATGGTTCAAGATATTCAAATGTAAAGACTTTTGGATTCTCGGTTTTCTTGTTGTGAGTAATTTCCATTTTACTGGCGTACGCGTAGCTTGTGGTAACCATCCTCTTGGACTCAAAGTCTAACAAATATCGACCCGGTAATAGCATCATTTGGTGCCCGTCGGGCCACTTCGTTGGAATACACTGCGACGTCTCTGCAGTTAAATTCGCAACTAACTCCTAACAGATTAAGTAAAAAAATATATAAATATCAGATAAATGATTTCTATATTAATTTCAAATGAAAATGTAATTTACCAATTCTTGAGGGTCATCACTCCTTGATACGTGCAGGGTTGCACTGTTATAACTGACACAAATTTTTAAATGTTCCACAGTACTATCCCAAAAGTACTGAGGTGGTCTGAGGAACCCGATTAATCTAGCTATCATTTCTCCACCCAGGGCAGATTCAGTTTTTGCCCCTTGCATAGATGGAACATTAAAATCCACTGTAGTAGCGTTGACTATTGTTACCGAATCGGGTTGACTAAAATTTACTGGTGGCTTATATTTTAAAAATGTTAATCCTGGTCTTTTATCCATTTCTCGACATTCTTCAACTTTGATAATTTCCGTGCCTTTTGAACCCCACCATCCTGGTATTTGTAACGGCGTATCATCTCGCAGGCCACAAACTCCATAATTATCATCTTTGTGGTGACAACGTGCATTTTGGACACACCAAGTACAAGTTCCAAGATTCAACTTATTTGATACAGATTTCTTGCCACGAGAAGTTGTTCCCCATCCACCACCAGGTTGACCGTGTATCAAACATGAATGGCAGTCCCCGAGTGCCGGACAAACGCCGGGACAACGAGTCGTTTGAAGATTAGTTGTACAGTTACTGCCAATCGTTCTACCATAACATATCTGGAATAATAATTATGGAATGAATATTTACGAGTTTAGGAATGCACGTTTCAATACACCTGTGTCACTTTTATAGCATAGATACCTCATCTGCTGAACACCAACCACATTCCGGATTAGCTGAACATTCCATCAAACTTTTATGTTTCGAACAAATTTGTTCCGGTTCTACATAATCTTCGTCTCCCGGTGCAAGCATTGGTGGCAATGTATATGCGAGTAAATCTGCATTTACATTTCCATGATACCCGCCAACTAACAACAAAGTATTTCCATTTCGTACATCTGCTGCGTGTGCAAATACTCCTTGCTGCTTTGGATACCGGGAATCTATAGATAACAATAAATATTTAGCGATAACAGAAATAAAATTTCTACATAATTTCTACTTGTATTTTCAAAGTGATAAATTACCTTTGTCATTTAAACCTAATACATCATGATTTACCCAAACATGACAGCCTAAGTGGTAAAGATACATTTGATTATCGTAACAAATTTCTTCTTTGTTATGTCTATGAGAATATCCACCAAATACGACTAAATAATTTCCTGCAAAATTAATTTAAGAAAAATTGTAATATTTTATTATTTAAAATGTTTGAATAATAAACATAAACAATTAATTACCTATAATATTACAAGTATGAAATGCCCGTTCTCTCGGCACGTACGTATCCCTTAAATGCGCTCTCGGATAATGAATTTCGGACCAAACTTTTCGGTCAAGTTGAAATACAAACATTCTATCTGACAATTTACTAAATCGTGCTACGCTAGCTACTACTCCCCCATAAACTAGCAAGGAATTTGTAGCACGATGGTATACAGTTGAATGTGCTACTACACGTACGTCTAATTCTTTTCCTCCCCGAGGATGTACTTCTTTCCACCTTTCTGTACTTGCTGTAGGATCGGCTAATGTAAAAATAAATTAAAAATTATTTTCTCTGGAAAGCATTATTCAAAACACATCAAGTACACTTCTTATATAAACTCACATAAATTCAATTTAATCTTATATAGGCTCGATGAAAATTCACCATCGACTGTGCTACCACCAAAAAGATAAATATAATCGTTTGCTAAAGTGAGAGTATGTCTCGTCAACTGCGGTGGATAAAATGGGGAATTTTTAGCTCGTAATGTCCACGATCGTGTATTAACATTGTAATGCCATAGTTCATTCGACAATGAACCATCTTGTACTTTTCCACCATATATAACAAAACCACCTATAATTGGCAAGTTATAAATGATATTATAATTGTATTATTTCTTATTATTATTTATTGAATACACAACTCACCATCATATCTACAAGCAGCGTGACCATATCGTGGACTTGGTTTAGGTAATTCATCGATTGGTGGGTTTGTAGGTTCATGTTTAAATGATTCATCCTTTTCTGATTTAGGTTCTGGAATGAAGATGTTCTCCCCAATAACATCATCAGTGTTTTCTCTTTCCCAATTTAATACGTCACTTCTTATATTTGTAGCACGAAAATCTTGATAAAAATCTAAATTTTCGAGGTTTCTACGGTGTCTAAGAAATAAAAATACAATGAGGTCTGATTTAATATTAGTTTAATAAATATATTGTACATCTTACTGTTACCTTGCTGTTTGTGCATATCGAGGCTTAGGATGTCTAGCATGTTTTCTTCTAAGATCGTCATTTCTTTCTATTCTTATTGTGCTTTTACTTGTTTCGCTTTCTCTGCTTTCCGGGATCTTCTTTTCGTGTTCTTTACGCTCTGCTCCGTTTTTAAAGTCAGACCAACCGTGTTGCCCATTTTCTAGATTCGCATGATTACGTAAACTAAAAGTATTATTGTCTTTAATACTGTAGAGTACTCTCCAAATAAGGGACGATGTACGAAGACCATATAGTTCCTTTGTACCCGCTCCTATCCGATCTAACTCGGTAGCGATCAGCATAGGATCTAAATATTCTGCAGATGAGGGGCCTTCTGTTTCAAAAATATATGATTAATTGAAAATGTAATATAATTTCTATAACTATAATAAATAATTTTAGTGCTTACTACTTACCTAGTACATCACCATATTCATTTTCCCACTGACTTGTACTGAACCGATAAATTTCCAAATCACTGAGTATATAATTGAGATCATATCCACCAAATACATAGAGAGAATCAGTTTCTTTTATATACACTGCTGTATGTGCTGCTCGTGGCCTTAGCCCACCTTCTGAATGAGAAAGCCAATGCCACCTACACATGGGATACAGTAATTACAAAATAACTGAAGCAGTATATACAAATTGATAGCAAGATTAATAACATACTTGTTCCCTTCAGGATGTGTTTTATGTAATGAGCAAGACTGTCCTGAATATCCATTATGGCACTGGCATCGTTTTAAACCACATTCTCCGCCGTAACTACAATTATTTGGACAAAGAGCTCTAGAACAGTCTCTTCCACCCCAATCATTTTCACAGAAGCAAGTGTTATTAATACACTTTCCATGATTTGTACAATTGTTTGGACAATTTGTAACTGAAAATTCTGCATGGAAACCATCCAGAACATAATTTGTATCACTATATAGTAGTATCAACATCTGTAAAAGAGCAGAATTAAAAAATAAATTTATGATAACATTGCTGCATAATCTCAGGAGATGAATTATTCATGTTTAATTTATTATCACAGTATTTCATATTCACTTACATAACCAGATGATGATGTCACTTGTTGTGGTTCTGTTTTGCCACTGAAACTACCTAGAAGTGGAGATCGAAAAGAGTCTCCATCGTAAACGAAAACATAGTCATAGCTACATTCTGTTCCCATCGTACGAAAACTCAATGTAATAAATTGACGGCTGTTGTTAGCTACAAAATATATACACATTAAACACCTATAAATACACAAATTGAGCGCACTACACATTGTTATAGATATATTAGGATATTGTTTTACCTTTTATAAGCCATTCACAGTGAGAGTCTTGAGTATAATTTGAACCTAAGGGTCCATCGCTAATTATTCCCCAAGATTCAGTAAAAACTTTTCTTGTTTTATCACATGGAACTTGTTTTGGAGATGTTTGCGGAGCTAACTGGAAGCCCCGCAATAGGCAACTCCATATAATAATCCATATTGTGGTGGATGAGGCCCACCCCATTACAGTATATTCGCCTCGCTACTGTTTGATACAATAAAGTTCATCATCCACATTCATTGGATTATTTTTTGAGCAATTATATCGTAAAGAACTCATATAAGGGATCATATCTGAAAAAGTATAGTTTTTGTTATTTTAATTATTATATAGTTGTTTATTGTCCATAAAAACAATGTAATGTTTATCACATTCTTGTAATATAAGAACAATAAAATTGTTACTATAAGGTACATGATATTCTATAAAACATGATGAAGCAAATAAACTGACAAGTTGAGTTGTACTATTATGTAATTGATTTAAATTTCTGGTATAAAAATAATTACATATACAAGTTTTATTCAAATCATATTACGTTTCTCATACAGTTACAACATTGACATCACAAATAAAACAATGCGATATTATTATTCATTAACCTAATATATACAAAATTAAGAATTAAACAAGAAATAGACAAATTATTATACGTATACTTAGTGGCATGCAGTAAAATCTATATGTCACAATTATTTACATAAATGTTTGACAATTAATTTTATTTAGCTTGTTATACAAACATAATTGTATAGTAACAGTAATCAACATGCAAAATGTCACAGTCACGTTGTACAGTGATCATGCAAGCATCAAGCATACCATTTGTAGAATTTTATACACTGATCAAATAAAAAAATGTTGTAACAAATGTCAGTTCATAAATATCGTGTTAAAAGACTTTATAGTGACAAATGACAATGAAATGAAACACTTGACTACACTTTTTTCACCTAAACGAAATCAAAGATCATTCTTTAACTAAATAGATACAATAGAACCTCAGCTGGGATTGAATCAAAACATTATGTACGTATACACACATACACGTCAAAAAAATCTGCACCGTGCTATACTTTGAATAGTCGCATTCTCAAACGCCAATTGTTTTGAAAGCATGTATCCTGAATACCACAATTCATATATCCTAGCACAAAGCGATAAATAGTAAAACAAACGTGTAAATATAGACAGACAAAAATTATCGCTTAAACTCTGTTCGACCTCGCCTGTTGACACCTTGACTGTCTCTCCATACGAGGTCAGGGTGGGGGCTTCTCCACCGCCATTATATTCCCCTCGTTTCGAACGCGGTCTCGATATTCGAAAGTTTCCAGCAGGGCTGGCGCGAACATTTGTGGAGCCGGTTCCAAATTTTTCTAGGGCTAAATATATTTATGTATATAGTAGACTCATTGGTAAGTAGAATTTTTGTTTTAGGTGGGTCCAAAATAGTTTCGTTTTACTAATAGTGTCAACGTCTCCACACTGAGTATGACCAATTCTGGCTTCTTGAAAGAGAATCTGATTTGTTAATTTAGGAGCTTGAACATCTCTAACTTCAAAAGTTTCTACATTTCTGACATAAGTAATATATTGGATTAACTAAAAAATTTTGTCTGTTCCTATTGTGGAGGTCTCTATGGATTCCGTGTCGATGGTGAAGAAGCGCCATTAGGGTGAATTAATTCGTGTGAGGGTGGCAATATAACGAGAAACTACTGTATTTGTAAACAGTGCGCTCAAAAATTTACAATAGTTAACCACAGGCTTAAACTGCAAAAAACACTCTGAACCAATCTTATGGCGGCCCTGGTTTCCAGGGACACCGATTGAAAAAATTCCATATAAAAATTGTTTTCATTCAAAATACTACTTGCACTTTCGTGCCATTAATCAAAATGTTGATATAGTTATGATAACACGTATTTAGGCATCTTACCTGGTTTTTGTGACTTTAAAAAGAAAGTTGACGAAAATCTGTTCAGAAAAGTGTTTTGTTAAAAATTTATTTTATTATAACAAATATAAGTATCTATTGTCGATTTTTCATAATTGCTGTATGCTGATAAATAATATTAAAATTGCACCTACATTTTGTTTAAAAACATATGTTTACGTATTTATTTTCAATGTTTAGTTATTGTAATAGCCAGTATACATGTTGCCGCATTCTGAAGTCCTGTAAAATAAATTATTGGTTGACGTTCGAAAATTGGAAAATAAATACGCTATGCACATGTATGTATGTACGCATATGTGCATATTACATGAAAGTATTGATTTTTTCTGTAAAGTTTGCACTAACAAATTAATGTGTCAGAAAGAATTGCTTTTACAATATTTATACAACGAAATTATAACGCTTTTGTACAGACGCATTATAAACTTTTGTATTCGTCTAGATAAATTTTATTTAAAAAATAAATACTGCTGTAACAATGATTGCATTTACATTTAAATAGTTAACATTACAAAAATAATTTGTTAATTTGGAAATTAACATCAACGTTACATTATAGCCGTATTTCTGATATTTTTAAAATCTTTAGATATATTGGAACTTTTTAATTATACATCTTTCTATATTGCACAATTATAATAAATTATTTGAAGATGAAAAATATATACTACAAATTTTACAGAAATAAAATACTCACTATTTTAATCCTTTTGTAAATTTTATTTTTCAAAAATAAAACAGCCGTTCTGTTTCTTTTTTCATTTATCACGTTAACATGTATTCAACTTTCGGAATATCCTTGATGTAGAAAAAGTAATCGATCCATAATGTGTTATTAACTACACATTATATTCAATAGTTGCTTTCAAACTATTGGATTAAAAATTGCAAATGCAATAATCTTTTATCATTTTCCATTCTTACGTGCGCATAGATATTAGTGGAATTTTTTTACGAGACCGATTACTTGTTGTATGTAATAATTATTCATTATATACACAACAAATTATCGTTTTCGCAGGGAAAGAAAAATAGACACAAGATTAGAAATCTGAAATATATATGAAGTTTATCAATATACACTTGAAGACTGTAACGCATTAACCTATATGTATTAGAATTTTCAAAATTCTACCATTAATTACAAACTTATCGAACCGATTAATATCCTTCAACTGGTTTATTACAATGCATAGCCTCTATGACAATAGAAAAGATCAGTAACCCCCCCGCTTTAACGCACGATACGTGTGCACTTACGTATGTGATCCCATTAACATATCTGCGATATACTTTTCTAAAACCAACAGATATTCTGTATACTGCCAGAATCTTAACGATTGATACAATCGCTCTCTTTAAGTTGTATAGCATACTACCAATGCGGTATAGAGGTAAAAATTATCTTCTCCGTTCAAAAACTTTGAAAAGATATTTGCGTGCTACTTATTCTGTTACTGATGCAGTTATTACAATATAAAATTAATCAGACGTCGAAGTTCAGATAGGAAAAAGTAGTCCCTAATAAAGCGAATGAACAATCTTCATGTTTCTACCAAAAAAGAACCGATCTTCAATTGTCTAAAGTAATTGCTGTACAAAGACAGAGAAATTGTTTAATGATAATCACCGTGTTATTTAATCTGGAAAAATAATTAATTTTTTCCTTTGTTTATAATTATTAGTTAAAAATTTTTAAATAAGCAAATATTCAATAAAGAAATTTTTCTCTAATCTTTATATCCTTCGATTTCTAAGATGTCATATTAAAAATATTTCGAAATATAAATAAATGAATATGAAACATTTTATATCTACGAAAGATAGGTACCCTGCAGCTGCTTTGTCAACATTTGAAGCTGTCAAAGGCAATCGTATCATCTTTTTTTTAATTTTCTTAATAACTTATTTAAAAAAAAAGAAAAAAAAAGTACATACTCGTAATGTCATATATTTTTCAATTTGTTTGTCAAACTGCTTTTTTTTGTTTTGTTAAATTAATGTTTAGTAAAGACAGGAATATGAGAGGGGTGACAGTTTTTGTATGGACTAAATGAAAACATTAAGGATATTTGTACTAAAAACTTAAAACTCCAGCACTCGCTTGTCACAGTCAAAATAACAGGAGTTCACATTCTTCTATACAGCCAACGTTGAACTCAATTAGCGTTAAAAGAAAAAGGCCATTGTGTAGAGTTTTAAGTAAGATAATAATAAAAAAATGGACAATTAAGTCGATCGATTGCGGGAATGATAAATGATGTGAAAAATGCAATCGATCGTCTTTCTTGTGCACTGGTGTATGTGTACATTCCGTTATAATGGCCGTTGAGATGATCCAATTGTACGGATCCTAGGACTGTAGGGGAGAAACTAGTGCTGTTTAACCCCTTCGTAAAGATTACAGTAATTATAAATTATAAAAGAAAATTTTTTTTTTCGGTTTTTTCCTTTCTTTTGTGAAGTCCTTTTCTAAACAATATCTGCTGTATCATCTAGACAGTCCTTGTCTAAACAAAACAACGACATGAATGGCTTGAAACAGAAACATCAAAGACAATCCTTTGCAGATTCATCCTCTCCGTAGATTTCTGGTAGCGCTGTTGTTTGACCGCAAACTAAGTCTGAGATACTTTTAGCTTTTACTGAGTGGCCGAAGGATTTCGCGCAAACGCTAAAATCTTTTGTCATTTCACTGATCTCTTCGCTCTCCTGATGGTCACATGTAGGTGGTAATTTAACAGTCGACACAGAATATACATTATCACCACCAATACTATTCTTACCAAAAGTTGCAACTGAGGTTGTTGATGTTGTTGTAATCATATTTCGCGATTTATCAATGTCCATATAGTAATCCTAAAATAAAATTACTTACTATTTAGCTGTCATATTCGAATAAATATTAAGGATAATATTTAAATTATCTTACCTCAACCTTTTCTGAGTTAAGAGAACTGGAAATTTGAGATTGGGCTGAACAATTTTGATTACACTGTGCCAAAGCAATTAATGCCTTCTGATTTTCTCTTGCATCCACCAAAAATATGCTTTCTTTAACTTCCTTCGCATTGTATTCGTCAATTCTGCGAGAAATATTTAATCAGTATAATTTCATTGTTTTTTTTTTCGAGGCAGAAATGATTGACACATTTTAAGATTACTCACTTGTCATAAATAACAGCATGTAAACCGAGTTTTTTCAGATGTTGAATCGTATCTTTATCATTGTTATCATCCCCCCAGCAGAAGATAATTAACCCAGCATCTTTTACTAATTTAACTTGAGACGGATCTCGAAGAATATCTTCGGTATGGACATTAATTCCTAAGATATCAGCCGCTAAAGCATGTCTAACAGCCATCGGTATCGTTTGACACCTTGGATCATGATAAGTAGGATATTTTGAGGTTATGCCTTGGGTCAAGAATACTACTGGGTACTTATTTTGCTTAAGACGAATCATAGCACAGATATCAGGGTTAAAAGACGAGAAAACGATTTTTCTGTCACCTCCATATTCTAACACAACTTTGAGTATAATATCCAAATATAAATTAAGATCGAAGGGATGATTAAGTTCAAATGTGCCATCCTATAGGTACAGATAATGCAATTTTAATGAGCAAAATATAGAAAATAAACAATAAAAAAGTTACCGTGTTTACCTTCAATTGCATTGTCCACTTTATTTCGATATTACATCCGACGTGCTGTTCTAATTCTTGAAGTACGGTCTGTAGAGTAGGGAAAGGCTGATGATCTTCCAAATCTTCGTCAAAGAATCTCGGATTTTTTTCTCGACCTTCAGCCACATGATAAACCTGCAAGAAAAATGTTAACCTGTTAGAAGTACATAAACCAAAAATGTCTTTTAACGTAATTCAATTAGATTATAAAATTTGGTAAAAATCGTATGATGTTTGACATACTATACTTTTCGAAGCCAAACAAAGCACTCTGAGGTCATGTGAATATATTAAAAGTAATATCATGCCTCTCATGATATTATTCACATGCTGTGATAATGTGATTTATACATTTCTTGATGGAAAGTTCCGCGCTTTGTGTACGGAAACGTGAAGTCAGAGGGAATGAAACTGGTGGATAATTATTAAAAATGATCTTGAAGATTTTTTAAAGCACTTTTACAAAGGTTGTCTGGCGATATTACGTCGATAAAAAATATTTGTAAAATTCAGAATTACTTCAATGATTTACAGTAAAGCTTTCAGCTTTAAATCGAAGCGTAATGAATACATATCATGATGTATTTTCAAAGATTAATTTTAGTCGGATTTGGAATAAATTCGGAACAAGCATGCATCAAGTGGTTTATATGGCTAATCTTGATTATACATCTTGGCGACAAGTTAGGCGGCGCAAAAGCGATATGAAAGCTCACCAGTTGGTTAACCCCCTGCTCAGCTTTATCAACGAAATACAGCACCTTACCCAACGAGTCTCCCGGGTAATAAAAATCCTGTTGAATATTAAAAAAAGACCAATACCAATAGGTATGTTACACCTATGAATTCATGATTGCATGGCTGTGTATCTACATACGATACAACCCTCTGAGGTGATTGATTTCTCCTTCAATACAAAAAAGGACATAAAAAGCGGAGACTGTTTTATTAATACGCGTAGCATTATTAGAAGCCGCATTCTATTGGTTAATGGTAGATGCAAAATTATATGTGTCGCATTAATTGACCTATTAAAAGATTGTTAAGGTGATCTCTATTAACATTCCACCGTAACTTATGAAACTAACAGTCTTCGAATAAAATAAATGTTCTCTTTTGTTCGCCGTTCTGAAATTTTACGAACACTACTTCGTAACAAAATAAAACAAATTAATTATTTCATAAGTAAACGTTGATTTCTGTAAATAACTGTAAATATGAAAATATGCACATGATATCTATGAAAATAAACTGACACTGAATATAAAGTGCATTAATGTATATGTGAAATTTACCTTCAACAAATGTAACTGCTCCAATGTTAGATCCTTAACAGGTATTTCCAGCATGTCCATAGCCTCTATTTGTTTCTTGCGTTTTAATGAAATAGATACATAAAAATCGTGATAAATAACTGGTATATGATCTTTGGACAACTGGACATCAAATTCAACCATATCAGCGCCGTGATATGATGCGGTCTTTAAAGAAGCTACTGTATTTTCCCGTACATTAGCACAGCTATAAAAAAAAGTGCATGTTTTAGCACATAATCATGAGTATAGCTAAGGGGGGATATTTATCTTCCCCGAGTGTATAAGGAATATAGAAGATCTGCTTTTTCTCGAACATACTTCTTCGTTTGAAAAGATGTACCGAGCCCTCTGTGTCCCACATCCAGGCCAGACCATCGTTGTTCCCAATGTTTCGCGTATGAAATACTCATGTCCCACGGATAATCCGGAATAGATTTTATCACAACGTATTCCACTGTAAGTTGTCCTGTGACCAAAGAAATTACTTAACAAAACTGTAGTGGCAATCAAAAAGGATAATTAAAGTCAATATCAGAATTTAATATATTACCAATTGGTCTATGTTTGGTGCTTGTAATTGGTACTGTTAAAAGCCCAACGCTAGCTTGTAACGTGCTAGGTAAGATGTAGCTGAAACCAATATGATTTGGTGGTTCTCCTGGAAAACACCTTGAGCTGTACACGTAGTAGTCCACTAAATATGCCTGAAAAAACAGTCTACTTAATATACATGGAAAAATACAACCATTTGAAACAACACCAAATGCTTGCATCAGTATTTTCTGCTCATCCATTATAGAGCTTGCTTGAACATTAATTAAGTCCAATGATCAAGGACATTCAGTTCGAAGGAAATATTTTTTATTAACTTTTCTAAATTAGGACATAAGAAATTAAAGATTCTAATAAATGTGGTGCAATTTACGACACGTTATCAACGATCCTTGATCACTAAAAATCGTAGGAATTAAACTATATCATTTGAGACATTTGTACATCTTATGTTTTTTTTCTAAATTCTTTGGCAGTTTGAAGCAATTTGTAGGCAAGAGCAACAAATTTATCAGTGACCGACGATACAAAGGACGATAATTTACTTCCTACATAATCTAGCAATGAACCAGACCAATAATTGCCAAATGCTGTACTCTGCCTGGTGACGCGTATCCCGCAACACCTGCCGATCATTCATTATTAAATTTCGATATCAAGTCTGCAAGGTTTGTAATTCAGATTCAGAAGATTCTGACAGCTTAGTCTGGCATTTGTCCGCGCAGCGGTGTCAGGTACGGTACAGTAGAGTTGGTCAGAGCTAGAAAATATTAGTAGTACACTAAAAGGATATAGGAGTGATGGGAGCCTCACCATTTTCGACGCACACAGATGGATATGAGGTGTGACAGCGTTGATATCTCTAAATTTCTTAGGGTTGCTTAGGATGTCGGCTGTGACTCGCGTAAACCGATCTCACGTTACAATAGATCGCGTAGTCTGGATGATAAGTATGTTGAACCACATCCATTATCTTCAGTCACAACAATACGACGTACTTCAGAGAAAATTTACGGATTTACGAGAGACTAAGCCTAAGGATAGGTGCGGTAGGGTGAACGACAATCAAAACCATCATATCTCTGTGTGATGTCATGTGACACAGATGTAAAGTGGTAGACGATGCTTAGCATCGATACATCAGATTGCATGTTAGCATCGTCATTTGCACCAGAGGTCTTGCTTTGTACAAAGCTGACGGTTGTCTTCATTCCAGGCCAGTGCGCGTGACATCGCTTCTGGTTTCCAAGGAGGGCAATAGCTGCTGAACAAGTTTAATTATCTTTTACCAAGTAATTTGAACAAGTCGCGAGAGAAGACGTGGCCAGCCTACTCGTGGTCTACTGAAAACTCACATGGTATGGTCAATGCGTATCTTTAGTGTATCTAATTCTCTCATGAATTACCACTAGTTTGTCATTTATTGCTGTGTCATGCCTACAATTTTTATCAATATTATGTTCATTTATCTGCCATTTCTATTAAACAAAGATGTACATTTGTCATCAATGCTAGGGAGGTAAACTAAAAAACACCACATTTTATTTTAATCTTTTTTTTATACAGTTAGCATATGATGACTGAAGTCAATGCCTTTGATGTTTCCATTTGCAGAACCGTCCATTAAAAACGGAAAATGTTGATTTGGAATAAAAATCGAAGATCTATCCTATGTACATAATGCATATAAGAATTACAAGCAATGCAAGCAATAAATACCAACCAATGGTTATTCATCGAATTGTGTATTTAATATGATTTCCTGATGATATTTTATGTGAATACTTACGATAGTTTCGGGATATCGAACCGCAACATTGAAGATTATAAATTCGTCTTCATTATAAGCTCGGCCAAATTGTTCCTGAATCTTGAAGTGGGGCTCTTCGTCGTTCATAACCTAGACGGACATATTTTATTATAAAAAAAATTATGATAATCATTAACTAAAATAGGAAATATAATTAAATAATATATACCGCTATTTCCGTAATACTGAAGGCAGGTTGATCAACAATATCTTGTGTATCCATAGAAAGACTATCATCTACGCAATCACCTCCAAACTGTTGCAATTCTAAAGAATTGTGCCTAACTAGATTTACAGGTGTCATCTAAAATTTGAGTGAACATTTTGATTCTGAACTTTTACATATGGATCTATTAACAAATAATGCAGTCTAAAAGCACACACCTTAATGTGAACTTTTTTATTTTGTAATCGATTCTTCCATAATTTAATTGGATTATTAAAAAGCTTAAATTGTACCACAGTTTCGTCAGTCAACCAGCCTCGTTCAATTTTACAATAACCATTATAATAACCAAATTTGTCTGCATCTGGTAATGTATCGCTAGTAAAATTGCTAGGTGCTACAATAAACATTTTATTTGAAACCACAGTCAAAGGTAATAACATTACTTTATAGATAACACATCCTCTTTATGTTCACATACATACCATTCTTTTTGATGAGACGAGGTGCCATATGAGTCTCCCATCTACGAATAATGAGAGTTTTGGCCGAATTCTTAGTACCATTGGATTGACAGATGACAGCAACGAAATATCGAAATTCTACATCGGTATCAATGGGAAGTGAAACTTTTTGTGAAAATGTCTGTCCATCTCTGAAATATATAAACTTTGACATGTATATACAGTCAATTTCATTCATGTCTATATATTAACACATCCCAGCTGAGCAAACAATAAATAATTATAAGAAACACAGAATTTTTTAGTTACTTACTCATCATCTACATCACCAAATAAGTTTTCCCCAGCATGTCCATCATCACTATAAAATTCTGCACTACTGTTACTATCAAAAAGTGTAGGAGAATCCCGACTGCCATGTTCTTGTGATAATTGAACTGCTTGATTGTGATTCCAAGCACCCAGCTCGGGCAAATTGCCCACCACGTATAAAACTTCATTTTTCTCCAGTTTATGCACCTGAACAAACATCGAATAAAGGAAAAGAAGCAAATTTTTGTTATTACAAAGTAAAACTGTTAAGAATGCACGCAATTATTATTCAGTACCTGGACCCTAAAAATCCAGTCCCTTTTAGATCCCCTCATGTCTGATGTATGTTCAGTCGCCACCTCGATGAAGCTAGTCTCACGTGGCTCTTCTAGCTGCTTCAATTGCTCCTCCTCTTTGTTCTCTATAAACCACATCCGCTGCATATTACTATCTTTTCTTTTTCTCACTGTTTTTCTCTTTCAATTTTCTGTGTTTCAAGGTGTGTTCAATTCACATCAGCTAATTTTCTGTAATAAGGGACTTGTTGTAAGGTATGTCAGGAAGTTTACAATAGCAATCAAATTTATTGGGACAGGTATTAAATACACAATTTTTGTTTATAAAAGTCAATTTTAAATATTATTTTTAAGTATTTATTTATTATTAAACACAAATTTACAATTTTTTTTCTGATACATTATATAGTGTATTATTTAGTGTAATTATTTTGTAAGTTTTTAGATATTTTTATATTTTTTAATATGTTTAAGATATTTAATTGTTTTGTGGCTTATTTATTTAAAAATTATGAATAGGTTTATTATAAACATTTTAGGTATTATTATATTAAACCAAACTAAAATAAGGATTTAAATGAATTAATTAAATATTTAAAATTTAAATTATTGTAAAGAATATATATAAGTATAAGTTAGTTCCACAGTTTTACATCAAAGAAATACCATTGAAGTAAAATATATATGAAAGAAAAACATTTTTATATCATTGGTTTTGTATTTAAATGGTAGTTATAATGTTAATGGATTAAGAAAGGATTCATTAATAAAATTAGTATATGATTAAAGGATGTTTTTATATCAACATTAGGTAATTTTTTTTAACGTCAGCAATGTTATATCAATATACTCTATACTAGCAACATGTAGTACAGTGTAGTACAGTGTGACAAAACATGACATATAAATTACACCAATATTCAAACATCAATATGAGACAAACAAGCAGAACACAACCATTTTCTAAACAATTACAGTATCATTTTCATTTTGCTTAATATTAAATTTAACATTACTTTAGATAGACAAGTCAGCATTATAGAAGGTATCTCGCTATTGATGGTACAATCGTAGCAGAAATGATCCTATATATAAAAATAAATGAAAAATATAGAATAAAATTTATTCAAATTTAGCTTTGTTTTGAGAAATTAGAACATACTGTTAGACTATGTTCCTTATGATATTATTACTTACACATATGTTCAACTACTGATGCTCAATTATCTCAAAAGTAAACCCATATATGAACAAATTTTATTCCAAATTTTTTATTAATTTCTTTCAGGAAAATTAAATCCTCCTCAATAGTACCATCAATACTGGAACATTCTCTGTAAATATTATCAACCATGTTGCAATTCATATTTAATACAGTGAATCTAACATGTAAATATAATAAGCAGAATTACAGGAACAGTTGGACCCTTTTTCTTTTTAATATCGATATAGACATTTTTGTTACGATACATCATGGTACAGACATTTAAGGAAAGACTTACATGGAAACAATTATTGCAAGAATGTTCTATAACAACTTGTAAGCAATATGTCGGACATAGGAAAACGGGACAAAAATATAACGAACAATGAATGAGAAAAATTCGACTGACTAATATATTTTACAGAAGCACGTTATTTTTGAAACACGGTTTACCTATTATGTCGAAAAAGCTCGGTTGGTTTTACATGTAAAGCTTGATTGGCAGCCTGGTCTTCACCTCGTAAAAGAGTGCGTGTTATTTAACGAATGCCGAAAGCAGTCGCACCATATTTTTCATCAAATTTCCCATTATTCGTCACTGTACGGCACAACACGACTTTTTTACCTGACATGAAACGACCCACTAGCACAACACACTGCACAGCAGTAGTTTTTTCTCCACAAATGAAACAATGGTCGATCTGGCAACGTCGTGAACACGGAAATGACGACATCGATGGCTCAACAGAGTCACCAATTTGAACTGTACTAAAGTTACTGCTTTAAGAAACTATCATTTTTATATTTTAACTTATAAAAATATACATAGACCACCAATCAAATTAATTCTAATAAATGTATTAAATCTATCAAAACGTTTCATATAACGCGAGTGCTTGAAATATGCGTATTTGAATTTGATTTCACAAAATTTCGAGTAGTTACTTCCTGTCCGCCATACTGCGACGAACACAAAACGGTTTATTATCGAGTAAAAGTAATATACATATATATTATATTGCTTTAAAATTTAATACAAAATTTTTATTTTCTTGCATTTTATGTAAGTTCCGTATATTTATTATATATATGATCATGACTACTATAATTGTACTTTTAATTACTTTACTTCATGAAGTAGAACTTTGAACTGTTTGAAAAAGTGTTACATAAAAACTTCAGTGCATACATTTTAACATTTTTTAATACAGTACAAACTTTTTAGGTATGATTAGATAAGGCGCTGTTAAATTACATGACAGGTGACCCGTAAAATTTTATGGTTCTGTTTCTACTTATTTGGAGGACTTCCGGCATACATGGTATAACAATAAATCAGTACTCCTCTCAAGTACTCTATGAAAATGCTACGTTCTTAATAACAAGCGTAAATTGAATGCGTCAACTTTTAATAAAAAAACTAAGTTTTTTTTTACTGCGAAGTTGGATAAATACATAACGTAACAGTCGATGCGTCAAGAAACTATTTTTTTTAATTGCGATGGAAATACACGTCTGTAGAATTTAAATAATAATTATAGGCGTTATTTTATCTAGGAGCTATTATTCTACAATTTTCTGTGGGACAAACGTATGATAAATCGAATTGTAATACATTTAATCGGAAGAAGGGTAAGAGCCACAGGAAAGTACTCGTTAAGAAAAAAATGTCCGCATTGACCACGGGGGGGACTACGATAAGAGTTGTGACGCATTAAAAGAGGAAACTATTCAATGCAGGATGATTTGCCGTCATTACGACTACCTATTTTTTACAACTGTAGAACAAAAATATTCAGATAATTACGATTAAAAATTATCAGAAAATTTGTTTTATTCTCTGCAATGTTTTACCGCTATATGCATTACTATTTTTATTATTTTGTTCATATTTATTTTTATAGCTTCCTTAATTTAATATTTTTCTATTTTTATTTCAATTTTATTAAGTAAGTTAATACAATAATTTTATTTAGTAAAGTTAATACAATATTTTTTATTCTTTGCAGAAAGGAAGACAAGATTGAAAACTGGTGAACAACCGTTGAAAGGATTTCATCACTGTCTTACTGCAATATAATTGTGCACAATCATCTGTTTCTTGGATTACATCTTATATTACATTCTAAGCATATAATGTTGCATTATATTAGAATATGTAATAACAGGTCTGGCTCGACTTCGTTGAAACGTGAAAGGTGGATAGATAGTCAAGTGCCGTATAAAGATTGAGAGTAAATTATCAGGTTGTTAAGGATTTTGACTATATCGGTTTCAAACAATTTAGAACGTTAACAATTCTAAAAATAAATTGTAGCACATGTCGTAATTAAATTAGGTAAGAGTTAGGTTAGATCAGCGTTAGGTGATTCAGTTAAATCGTAATTGAATTAATACAAAAGGTTTTATTATAAATCATTACTTCTTTCCTATAGTTAAACTAGTTTTAAGATTTACAAAAGTATCTTTCTACGAAAATGTATTACTTTGATATTAGAGGAAAAGATAGACTAACAATGTTATAATTTATATTGTAAAATAATATTTTTGTTTCTGTAATATGTTGAACTGTTTCTGGCTTAGGTTGTGATACAATAGCCTTCTACGAAAGCCGCTTTCAGTCTCTACAATTAAAGCTTGTATATGAGAGTGTTACGATAAAAAAGACAATTGCATAATCATAAGCGTTTGCGATGATTAATAATAGTTGTTTCTCTATTTTATAGGTACTGTTGAAGAGGAGTGCGATGCACGTTGTATGAAATCGTTGCACGTGATGTCTTCTGGCAGATATGTTCGATTAATCTATCTGGTCGAGAGCAATGATTCATCGTATTCGCGAAAATTTACACTTTACACAAGCGAGAAAATCTGGTGTGAAGTTGCGCGCAAAACTTTTTTCTCGTTGCCTCTAACCACAAGTTTATACTTAGAACTGCTATTTGCAACAGATATTTATATGTATGATATTCTTTTTTAAGGGTCATACAATTTAAGAAACTGGAAGGCCACATTTCGGACGGCAAATATACTCTATAATTCATGTCCACTTCAAGCATTTGTACAGGAACAAGTCGTTCTTTAAAAGCACTTGATTTGGCACAAATGAAGAAATCAATACGGTTTCTATAAAAGGTTTCTCACGCTACGGAAGCTAAGGATAGACAATGAAGAATAGTTTCTTTTATTAATTTCTTTCGGACGTCGAGTGTATAGTCAACGTCATTTAACGACTGCATCATACAAAGTTATGACAGCCACTCAATTATGTGCATGACAATAATCACTTTGTTATTCAACTTTTTCTAAGAAAAAAAGAAGTTAAGTTTATCAAATGTGGACTTAGAAACAAAATAGATGTAGCTGACAAAAAGTTTATATATTACGACGAATGTGAGTAAAATATTGCGAGAATCAGTAGATATGCTTATTTTATAAGAATTTTTCCTTCTTAAATACTTTATTATTTCCTTATGTATTTTGATGATGTAATAGCTTCTAATACTATTATAAATTGGAAGACATTTTCGAAGACGGTAATTTTTTACGATCCATACTTTGGGAATCTCTGGCAGGAAATAAATAACTGTAATATTTCTGGCTATTCACTGCTGACCTTGGATGACCTTGAGCAGTTCATGTCCCGCTGAATATATAGTGCACAGAGTACAAAAACACAAACTATTTTTACTTTTAATGAATTTATGTCAGCGTATGCTTAAATAATTATGATAATAATAGCAATGGTAATTATTATTAATTTTTTTTTCAGTTACGTTTTTAAAATAAAAAGCTAGAAACTACGTATAGAAACCGAAGATGGCAAATAATACTGTTAGGCGTTTCTGCATAAATTTTGCGTATTTGGCCGTAAAATAGCCATTTTTTAAAAATAAGTACTCTGAAATAGAATTACATTTAAATGATTAGGTATGTATAACGCGTCTCACTTGGCTACAGTTCAATGCCTTGTTCAGTGCTCCTCAACTTTTGTTAATTAATATTTTCACTTCCGTCAATAACTTGATAACTGGTATTCTTTCATTACCAAGTTATTCTAAGAAGATCATAATTTTTTTCAGACCATGAAACATAAAAAATGTATTGTTATTGCATTTTTCATATGATGATTAGACATATCAGTGAATATTAAAATGACAGAAAGGATACTTATGTCATACACGAATCAACTCACGTAATGCATTTACAAATATAAATGTAAAGTAACCGTAACGTTTTTAAAGAACATCGCAAAATCAATATTCATTCATTTGATGTCATCATTTTGAAACGATGAGATTCAGTAAAATATCAGGTAAGCGTCATTTATAAATCTTGCAAAATAGTAGCTGTAAAAATATGGCATTGCAATAAAATGTTATATCGATATTTAAAAGCAGCAAAAGTATTCTTGATCCACATTTCGATTAAACTCTCTCTCATAAATTATGTAGCATAAATTAATTTGCCATTCGTATTTTGTTAATAAAATTTTTGCAAAATGTCTATATTAATTTTGTAATGTTTAATATTTTTACAGATCCACCATCGACAAATTGTATATATCGATATAATTTTATATCTAAATAGTTATTGAAAAATAATATTACGTGACTGAACAAAAATATTAAGAAAATAGAAGACAACGTTTATATGCAACAATAATAAAAAAGAAATATTTAGAGTAACGTGTACTTCATAATGTCATGCTATGTTACTTATCGATCTGTTCGGATAGATATATACATATAGTGGTGCATTCTTAACAAAGGTATAAAAAAAGCGCTTCAGGAAATAAAACTATGGCACGCGGCTATTGTGACTATTGTTCCATTGCCACTGACGTGGATATATTATATCTATAATCATTGGCGTAACTAAAAGTTTTACTAGAGTGGAATCGCTCAAAATTTAGGATGAGAATTAAAAAATTTTTAATAGATGAAATCTTACAACCTTTCATAGCGCACAAGAAAGGCGAGATTGTATTTTAGGGGAAGAAGGAGGGGATAGGTACTATTTTGTACAAAGTTACGCCACTAGCTATAATACTTAAGTATACGTTCGTACTTTGCTATTGCAGCACGTCAACAATGTACCAAGAAAAGCCACTGCTACCTTTTTCTTACGCATTCCATGAACAGATACGAAGAGCAGTTCCCGTTCACATTTTACTGCATTGCACAATATATGACTATTAAGATCGTACCTTTGAACATGCTTGATTAATTACTCGCTTACGCATTAACATAATTGTATACTACCACGTGCCGCTTAAATGAATTCTTATTTACACTTCTCCAGTCACGAATTCTAAACGTTAAATTCGATTACATGCAAAAAGCATCTATTAATTTTCTTTTCATTTAAGCGTTTTTAATAAATAGGATTATACATGAGTATCTAAATATTATACATGTATCGTTTTCACGTGTATGGAAACGCCTTCTGTTTAATCTCACCATGATTTTCTTAGATCTATTTTTAAGGTTAGAGGATCAAGATCATGTTGCTTGTAACATGCGGGTGATACGATTCAAAAATTTCTCCCTAACGTATAAAGTTATACTCTTTCTTGTGTAATACCTGCACGTGATGAAATTGTATACTCATTTAGTCTGATGCAAGTACAGATATTACAAAAAATTGTATGTAAAGATACACGTATACATAGTTTCATATTTGTCTATATCATTTTTCTAAAATATGTCGCCATAGCAAGACTAGGAGACATAGTCCACTTTAGATAAAAATCGTAGTTACGCCAATGAACGAAACTTATCAATTTTACTATTTATTACGCAGGAATTTTTATTCGTTAAATTTGAGACGTCAGCGCCCATACAACCCGTTGTCAGATACGAAAAATATTTTACCAAAGGAAACCAGATTTCAAAACAGATAAAGAAAGGTGTGGTAAAACAGAGTGACTGGATTAGCTTCCGGCTGATATATGTTGAATGTCAGAAAAAATACTTAATGTATGAGGTAAGGTCTCAACCATTTATTTTGATCTTCAGATTTCTTTTGATTTCTGTGTATACCTCGCAGAAAATATAACGGCTGTCATTCAAGTAATTTTTCCGTAGATCGATGTTTTTAAACAATACATTTGCAGGCATATTACGAAACAATTTATCGAGATAGTGAACTGACGCAAAACCAGGAAACGTTGTTTGTGACAATCAGCTGCACGCGTTTATCGAGTTCAAACGTGAGAGTATAATACTTGTTTTGTGTCCCACAAAAAGAGAATGGTGCGTAGTTCAAAGTCCACGAAAGAAATTTTGTTCGCTCCTCATCAAATTCGGGATTTGTCATTACGAAATCTTTAATTACATCATTTATTTACGTCTCTTCATTATCTACTTTCGTAAAACTGTTATTAAAAACCTGTCCGACTTTCGTTCGCAGAAGCTGTTGATATAAATTTTAACATGTGTTGTTCTATTCTGAATGTTTGTGCACGCAGCGAATTTCTTCGAAAATACATTGAACTTGTTATTTTTCACAGAATCCTGAGCTAAACTTATTGCAGTTCGTGTAAATTGGACATTGGTACACAATGATCGATAAAAATGCGACAAGAATAAAATATCAAAATCCAACTCGTTACTTGGTTATGGTTTCTAAAGTATACGTAATAAAAGATTTTATAGGTAATTTTATACATCATTGTACGCATTCATTATAGATCAGTGAGAAAGTATTTTCATTGTGTATGCAGTGATTTGACGTAAGGCCCAACGAGCCGTGCCGTCTCATCGACCGTGGACTTTCGATTTAGCATGAAAGGATTCACACGATTTCGTTGTCATATTTATAGTTTCATGTAAACTACGGACTACAGCAGGCTACCCTAGGGAAGATGAGATAGAAAAACCCTAGGATCCGTTTTTTTGGTTAGTATATTTAAAATTTTAGGAATTCAGAAACTTGGAAACTTCTAAATTAAAAAATTCAGAAATTTATTACTTTGAAAATCAATAAATTTTTAATATTTAATTATTGAAAATTGTATCTATTATTTTTGGTAATTATTTTTAATATTTTTACGAGTATTCGTATACTAATAGTATTCAAATTTGATTACAGAATTCGTGTAAAATAAGCATGCATGTAAATCACAACCATTATAGTGACTAGTGAGGATTTTTTCCCCTAGTGAAGTCTGTTATGCTTGATACGATTCCATAAAGACGAATTTAATATATCAAAGCTAAATCTAAAGAACATTCTATACAACAGATTAAAACTGTCAGTGAAACTGATTAAATTTAAAGTCTTTCGTTGTATTTAATAAATCATGACATAGGATCAGAAAACATGATGGATGTTTATTTCACAAACAAATGGGATCATAAATATTGTGAACTGAAGTTTTCAAAAAATACGACAGTTGACAAAAAGGAAATTAATCAAGAGTTTTCACTGCATAGACGGTAAACGCTGGATTTATTGATTTTAATTTCGACGGGAGTGATACAAATAGACAAATGACGAAGCAACTCTTTGAAACACACCTTGAAAACAAATTGACGCAGTCACACAGGCTGTCACATATCAAAAACCAAACATCAAAAACACATTTGTTGCAAAAATGGTACAGTATAGTGATAGTATATAGAATAATATATTACTCACTAAAGTTTTTCACGTACACCAAAATCAAATTCTTCTTCTGATAGGTATCATAGCAAATGAATTAGCTATCAAAAATTGGACACGTGGTATTTCACCGATGAATATGTGACACGCGCACACATCGCGATGTGTGGACTGTGGATGTAACGAACACAACTACGAGAGGCGTAGAGAGGAACGAAGAGAGGAATTAAAAGAGAGAGAGAGAAAAGAGAGAGACGAATAACTGTAACACCAGAACCGTCACTGTCGACGAAATACTACTGACTGTTGGCGTCGGATTTCAATCAGGTTATGCAAACCCTATGAACTCCCCACTCTTCTTTCTTTCCTCATATACCTACGCACGTGACTCTCCAATGCGTTCTACATTTATACAAACTGTTGTATACACGACTGTCTGTGTAAACGCGTCATACACAATTTGTATATCGCCATTGGCGTAACTAAAATTTTTGTTTGGGGCAGGTTCTCTGATACTGAACTGCTCCCCTGATACCAAGATAGCACAATCAACCTACTTTTTGATACAAATTCTGTTAATAATTGCGCAACCAATAATTCTTTCAATTCTTTTGAAAATAGTAATAACAAGTGCAGTTAAATGTAACTACATTTTGTTATCATAAAAGTGAACATATTTTTTCATCAGATAAGTAATTATTTAGGTTTCAAAGCTGGTAGTTATTGTTATGATGCCACATTATGTTTGTCCCTGTTGCATTGTTTAGCATTTTCTACCAGCTCTTCATAATGCATACTAATCTGATACCCCAAGAACAGCTGTTATAACTGTGCAGTAGATTTTTTACGCGCGCAATTCAAAGGGCGGGAAATTCGATTCGTGCCGCAAATCATTTTCAAACAATCAATATGTTTATTCATTATTCACAAAATTCCTGTACAAATATTCGATTTAATTTTAGCAGATCGATAATATTTTTATCATCAATCATAAAAAGTCTGTCTCAGAACAATTAAAATTTATCTCTGCAAATTGATGAAATGAATCGATGTTTTTGATGATTAGATCAGATATATTTTGAAGTATTTACAAATTTCGAGTAGATTACAATTGAACTTTGATTGTTATCAATATATTTATCGTGAAAAGTTGATGTGAGTGCTGTGCTTTCTAATCAATGCGACAAGGGAACAGCTGCCGTTATTTTACAATAATTGTTGGCGTCCGATATTTATCAGACATTTAATCAGACATATAAATAATATATTTGACGTATTTATAGACGTTTCACTGCACTGACACTTGGTAATTTATCTTACGCAAATTCCTCCCGGGATTATTTCACGATCAAAATTTTTCCATTTAGAAATAAAAATATAACAATTGTTATCGTTAATATTTATTATAAACTACGTAATGAATTTTTATAAAATCTTCCAGGTTTTATCTTCGAACGCTTTCACGTGATAAATAGTACACGTTCCTATTAATTAGTTAATTATCTTCGTACAAAATTTTGAAAAATCTTGAGTAATTAAATCGTAAGTGCGATTGTTCGTAGTACAACATCAAGATTACAAAGTCTCTAAAATTTATCAGACGTTTACAACGACTTCATCGCGATTATTTGCGATCACCAGATGTTGTTAATATGTACTGTAGATAGCAAGAGTACTCGAGATTACGCTCCTATCTGTTTAATTATTCAACGATCCAAAAATATTGGCTGAGCATATTATCGGCTCCGGGGGTGTGGCACAAATAAAGTATAAGTACATACTAACATTATCGGGTATATGAACCTGTTTTTGTATTTACAATGGCACGTTAAATAATCAGCATGTCTCGGATTTTGAGATGATTGATTAGTGATTTGATTTATTGAAATCATTAGGTAAGGATTGAGTCCTCAGTGTAATTATATTAGAAATTACTGAAACGTGGTAGAATCTTGTTATGCTATAACATGGTCGCGTACACTAATTTACAAATTTAAGATTTCAAAAATGTGGAGGATTGAAGATATAATAATTACAGTTAATAATTTCAGAATCTAGTATTTTGGAAATGTTAACAATTTTCAATGACGCCAATGGCAACCACATATTCTTAAAGACACAACAATTTCAGTCTTCATAACTTCGAATTTATCACGTTAACAACACATCGCAAAATATTATTGAAAGTTACGTAAAACATTATTGCGATGTTAAAAACATTAACATCTCAAATTGTTACAAATTCAAATGATTTATTTTGACGATCGATACTGCAACTGTTATCAAGTGTAACGATGAATGTTAAGATTTTTATACTTGACCAAGGTCTACTTATCTTAACGAGGGTCAGACACGTTTTCAAGATCTAATCAAGAGAAAAAGAAAGTCTCTTTTCTCGCTGTTATATCTTTAATCTGCTGATTTGGTAAAAAGAGTTCACTGCAGTGGAGAAATAGAGAGTTTAATACTGTTCAGCAAATAAGATAATGTTTATCAAGGCCACTGTTCACTACATTAGATGACAAGAAAACAGTGATAACTGCATGATGTCTGAATGCGAGAGATTTATTTATCACTGTATAAGTTGGATAAACGATGTACTAGTTCCGGGTCAACGAATGAAGATATAAATTAACGTCTCCTTTTTATAAAATAATGGGTATATGCACATATGATAAACTTATATTAATAATTACATTAATATATAAATTCTTCACAGTAAAATCTCATTATATTGCCACTTTTTTAGTTGATTTAATCTATTGCAGTATTCAGTAGTTAACATTCTATTACACAAGCTATTCCAGTTAACTTTGCCTCCTTCAATTTTTGAAGACACAAAAATGTTTCAGAAGAGTAAAGGTTATAAGGTCACATCTGAAATTTCACAATTGTTATTTTTAAGTTAGAGCTTCATTCAGCTTCATATCGATAGCGATATTAATTGTTACAAAATGTTATCGTATAAAAACACAAAACTTCTCCTTCGATTATTTATTTGGTAGCTTCAGGTACAACAGTCGCTACATTTCGGTACAAAAATATATAAAGAGAATCATTTCTATTCACAAGATGTTAAGACATCATGCATCTTTTCCGTCAATATCTAAACATGTGTCATCATTGAATGCTCGCATTTAGGATGCAAATGAAGAGATGACGCATTCGACACGGGACAATTCGCTTTGAAATTGTTTTGAAGTGATATCTTAAATTTCTTAGAAATACGTAATCGTGTATAAGTACGAGTATTGTGAGATCGCGTTGTTTGTTAACTGAATAGAACCATTTATCTCGTCACAAGTGTTTTATAGTTTATCATCATGATAATTTTATTCTCATCAGTTGTTTCAAACTTTACTTATATACAATAATTTTGACGTATTAGTACTCTTTTTAAAATTAGCATATATTTACATCCATAACTTTTGCAAGAGCACGCTAATCAAATTGTTTGAATTACATAGCCATATTATTTTGACGTATTAGTACCCTTTTTAAAATTAGCATATATTTACATCCATAACTTTTGCAAGAGCACACTAATCGAATTGTTTGAATTACATAGCCATATTATGGTACAGTTTATAGTATTTGGCAATGTAAATACTTTTGACGTATGTACATTGTAGAATGTAAATACTACAATGACGTGCAATGGTAAGTACTTTTCGTTGTTATGAAGAAGCAACGTGGTAAACACATATGAACTTGAATATGCATCGCTAACGATAACTTCAGTATATAATCCTTTCATCTTAATCACGAATCGTCTCTTATCAATCTCTTTTTATTGAAAAATGAATCAGATATTTCGTATCGTTTTTTAATACTGATAACGCGCACCTTTCATTTCCCTATCACAATTTCAACACGCGAATTGTGCAAAACTCCTTTGTCCTTCACAATTCAGTAGTGGCGACCCCCCAGTATTGTTGCATCCTCGTTGCGTCCTGTTCCAAAGAGTCTAATCCGTTTCTTTCCTGAATGACAGCGAAATCGTATTCGAGATTATACGGCATTAGCCTCTGCAAGCTACCGAAATAAGCCGCATTTGGACCTCCGTTCAGTAATCTCCTTCCGCTACCGAATCGTACGATGGGGGGCCTTGGTAGGGAAGGATTAAAAGATCTGGCACTTCCGAATCTCTTCGATAGAAAAGGCAAATTGCTTCCTAATTGAGGCGTGGATCTCGACTGTCCTCGTCGTAGAGGGGTTCTTGTTAGAGTGTCCAATTCCTTGTCGAACAACAATTGAGTGTTTTGTTCTAGCATGTACTCCCAGCAGCGGAATTGCTCCTCGCTAAGAGCACCGGATCTTTCCGACATCGTGTCCTCCTGCGCCGTCACACAAGCCGAAACCTAGTTACAAAACGATAATAAGTTCTTTATTTTTAAAACAAAGATATGTAGCAATATCTTAAGAATGTGTTGACTCTGAGCGCAGTCTTTAATTAAGCAGATAATTACCAAGCAATATCTGAGGAATTGAAACTGCGATTTACATTAATTATTTTAAATGAATCACATTAATCAGTTTTTTGTGTTTACAGAGATTTGGAGTTACCTTCCTGGTGCCGTTTTCGTTCACGAAAACACTTTGACGAGCCTTGTTCGTAGCCCTAGAAGCGGCACTTCCGGACCACACTCTACCGGAAGGATGTCTTGATTTGAATGTGCTATCGCTAGCCTGGTCTGATTGACCACTCGGCGAGCTTCTGTCGTCTTTGTATGGTGGACTTTCGTTCTCCTGTGCAGGTCTTCGGTTTTTGAAATATCTGCTGGATCCATTGTGAGCCTTGTTAGATCTGTAATATCATTAAACACTTTTATAAATGATTATTCATTTGGGGATACAAAATAATTTGTTAAAGCAAAATAGAATTTGAAATGATAAATTAAAGACTTTGTTGAAGAATTAAAACCAACATACTTTATTCTTAAATATAACTCCTAGGTTACCTTTTGTAGAATACAAAATGATGTAACTATACATGACTTTATTAAATAGTTAATTGTGTACAGAATGCTTCAAGTGTATACATATTCAAAATGTTAACGTCAAACTTAAAACCGATAATATCAGACGACAATCATTTGTAATTTTCAGATAATTAACATATCATTTTTAATTTTTAACAATCAACAATACAGTAAAATCTATATGCATGAATAAGAATAAGCTATACTTCAAATGTACACAAAGACAAAAAGTAATGCATTCACTGAAAATGAAATTGTTTTCTGACAGAATGCAAACATTCCCGTTGTTCGAAAGTGCACTATTTTGTATTCCACCAAAGTTCTCAGAAATTTGCATTACATATTACCACGCGAACTTTCTCACCTGTTCACTATACTCTTCAGCACGCCATTTAAATAATAGCCCTCGTTCGCGTGACAACAGCAAGGTCCCGGTGGTTTATGAGCAGCGGGTGGTATACAACAAGGACAAGGACAACCACCTTCAGTTTGACCTCTATTTTTACCGACCGCGTGTCTCAGTTCTCTCATAAGTTGATCCAGATCTCCCTGATTGGGTCCCGTTAACCGAACAACCACGACGCTCAAATTATCCTCCGCCCCATAAGCCTGCGCCAAATCCTGAAGTCTTTTGGCCGCCAAAACCGGACTCGCCTCGGCTCTAGCTTCTCGCACGGCTTCCTGGATACTCAAAACCTCCCACAGTCTTCGATTCGCGATTATCACGAACTCGTCGTCATCCTCCAAATCCACTTCCTCGAACGTAGGATCAGGAACCACCAACGGAAACATAGCAGCGTTCCCCAACTGATTTCTTACAGGAAATTTCTTAGCAGGTGCTAGGGTCAAAGGTCCAGCAGCTCGACAGAGAACAGCTTTCGCGTCTCCAGAAGAAGCCACTTTCAAAGAATATTTTGTCGCCGATCTCGGGTGACCTTGTTGCGATTGAATTCTGACGATGTGAACCAAAGTCGCGTCGATGCCGTATTTTTGACCCTTTTCCTTAAGCTCTCTGTGAGCCGACAGCAACGTGTACTTCAAATATTCTTTTGATGTCTCACGGACGGTTCTTTCTTCTAGTAGGAGACGGGGTATCATCTCTTGGAGAGCGTTCGGGGCTTCTTGGTTCGATCCTCCGTCGAATATGCCGAAAAGACCCTCCACGTTGCAGAACGATGGCATTCGGACTTGGGAGACGTATAATCTGTGAGGAAAATTGGAGAAGTTGAAGGGAAATTATGCAATGTTATTTTGGAAATGATTTTTTGATGTATTGCATTTATGGGGTTTACGTGTTGGAAATTCTTTATGGGAGATTGGTATGCTTGTAAAATTGTAAAATTGTAAAATTGTAAGATTGTAAGATTGTAAAATTGTAAAATTGTAAAATTGTAAAATTGTAAAATTGTAAAATTGTAAAATTGTAAAATTGTAAAATTGTAAAATTGTAAAATTGTAAAATTGTAAAATTGTAAAATTGTAAAATTGTAAAATTGTAAAATTGTAAAATTGTAAAATTGTAAAATTGTAAAATTGTAAAATTGTAAAATTGTAAAATTGTAAAATTGTAAAATTGTAAAATTGTAAAATTGTAAAATTGTAAAATTGTAAAATTGTAAAATTGTAAAATTGTAAAATTGTAAAATTGTAAAATTGTAAAATTGTAAAATTGTAAAATTGTAAAATTGTAAAATTGTAAAATTGTAAAATTGTAAAATTGTAAAATTGTAAAATTGTAAAATTGTAAAATTGTAAAATTGTAAAATTGTAAAATTGTAAAATTGTAAAATTGTAAAATTGTAAAATTGTAAAATTGTAAAATTGTAAAATTGTAAAATTGTAAAATTGTAAAATTGTAAAATTGTAAAATTGTAAAATTGTAAAATTGTAAAATTGTAAAATTGTAAAATTGTAAAATTGTAAAATTGTAAAATTGTAAAATTGTAAAATTGTAAAATTGTAAAATTGTAAAATTGTAAAATTGTAAAATTGTAAAATTGTAAAATTGTAAAATTGTAAAATTGTAAAATTGTAAAATTGTAAAATTGTAAAATTGTAAAATTGTAAAATTGTAAAATTGTAAAATTGTAAAATTGTAAAATTGTAAAATTGTAAAATTGTAAAATTGTAAAATTGTAAAATTGTAAAATTGTAAAATTGTAAAATTGTAAAATTGTAAAATTGTAAAATTGTAAAATTGTAAAATTGTAAAATTGTAAAATTGTAAAATTGTAAAATTGTAAAATTGTAAAATTGTAAAATTGTAAAATTGTAAAATTGTAAAATTGTAAAATTGTAAAATTGTAAAATTGTAAAATTGTAAAATTGTAAAATTGTAAAATTGTAAAATTGTAAAATTGTAAAATTGTAAAATTGTAAAATTGTAAAATTGTAAAATTGTAAAATTGTAAAATTGTAAAATTGTAAAATTGTAAAATTGTAAAATTGTAAAATTGTAAAATTGTAAAATTGTAAAATTGTAAAATTGTAAAATTGTAAAATTGTAAAATTGTAAAATTGTAAAATTGTAAAATTGTAAAATTGTAAAATTGTAAAATTGTAAAATTGTAAAATTGTAAAGCTCCAAAGCTCTAAAGCTCTAAAACCCTAAAACTCAAAAATTCTAAAATTCCAAATTTTCAACTACCTAAGCAACCAAATTTAGAAATTAAAATTTTAACAATTATCAAAATTAAAATTTAAAAAGTATGAAACTTGTCTCTATGAATCTAGTCACAAAACTTTACATTTGCCTCTACCTTTCCCTGGACCCAGCTGTTTCAGAGAATCCGAGTCTCCACGGTTGTTCCGCACCCTTCTCAGCGGAAACAATCTCTTGCTGATGGGGATGAGAGGGTAAGCTCGGTCTATTTTGTCCTGACACATCGACCAAGGATATCGGTCGTTGTGATCTATACACCTGGAATTGTCTAGGATCCACATGCAGTCTCGAATTGCAAGATATATCGAGAAACTGAAGCTGTGGTGGTACTAGCGTAGCCAAATTTATCCTGTCCAGTTGATTATGGGCAAGATCTAATACCTGGACATTAACATTCCCTTGGATTATGTACGTTCTCCTTTAACGATGATTAGAAGCTTATCAAACTATAATAATCAGAGGAGATAATTTACTTAACTCTTAAGTGCCTTTACAGAAATTCGTAAAATCATAAAATGTTCATATTTCTTAATTTTTATCTTGTGAAGATTATAAATTAATTATGTACAAAAATAATTTCTCAAATTCTTAATATATTTTCTCTTAGCTTTTATCTTTTTTATTAGCTTTTTGCATTTATCTTCTTACGTGACCTAGTATAAAAGTGCCTTAGCCTCAGTTTAAAAATTGCAAAGGTTCATTGTAGTTTCAGCAATCATCTCCTATTATCTTCCAACGATTTCCTGTTATCGTTACCTTCAACGACGTTGTTTTATTAAACGTCGGGCAAGTTAGAAGTCGATTGGAATGGACACGCAACACCCGTAAATGTCGTAAATTGGCTACATTGTCTGGCAGATATTGAAGACGATTTCCTGACAGCACTAATTCTTCTAGATCCTTCCACGAAGCTATACAACTGCAAATTTTGATAATCTTTTAATCTTTAAACACTAATCTTAATCTTAATCTTTAACCTTAATACAAAATTGCAACTATGATTAAACTATAAACATTCTACCTTTCAGGAAGGGTGTCCAGGGTGTTGTACGCTATGTGAAGAGCTCGCAGGGAAGTCAATTTTGCTAGAGTATCCAAGGCAGTGTCTGTTAAACAATTCGCCGTGAGGTACAACTTTTCTACGCTGTGGTTGCTGTGCCGATTTTTGTTCCCTTCTCCCAAGGGAGGGAGCTCGGATAACCGATTGTTGGAGAGATTCAGCACCTTCATTCTGAAAAAAGATCTTTCATCACTACGTTTCTTCTATTTACGTTGGCTATTTATGTCTTTATGACTTTTATACAATTCATGACTTTTACAAGTCTATTCATTTTTGAGTTGTATTTCAAAATTTCTTTTAATGTATTGTGCAAAATTTCTGATTTGACAACTTCATTCAGTGTCCTACATAAAATTTCTGATTTAAAAATTTCATTCAATGTACTGTGCAAAATTTCTAATATGAAAATTTCATTCAATGTACTGCACAAGATTTGTAATTTAAAAATTTCTTAATTTAGTATTTGATAAGATGACCAAAGTACTAAAGTAGATAAATTAGGTGGAAAATGACATAACATAAAATTTAGCATTGGTCATCAACTGATATAGATCAAGTTAATTGTATCTGACGAGTATACTCGTCTCAACTGAAACAGTTGAATTAAATTATAATTACATTTTAATTGTAATTAGAGCTCCACAAGAATTTCTTTCGTTCAGTGTTCAAAAGAGATTTTAACAAAATAACGCAAGGTTATATTGAAAAATTAAATATTAAAATATGAAGTATGACAAAAGCATTTTCGGTGTGACAAACAAAGGGCTAATCTTATAATTTAATGTTAATGCTACAAATGAGAATAAAGCTCTGTATCAAGATTACATGACGTGTGAATTGATTGGCATACTTCTCGGTGTTGACGAAGAAACTCGTCGGTAACGCAGTCAGTGCATTGTCTTGTAGAGTCAAATGAACGATGTTTAATGGCTTCCGGGGTGGTGGAAGGGCTTGGAGCCTATTGTGGGGTAAGTGAAGGACCTCCAGTCTCGATGGCTGTGTTAACAGTCTGTCTGGAAGGGCTGTTAACGCATTGTGGGATGCAAAAAGTGCACGCAATACTGGAAGGTCTGGTGTCCATTCTGGAAGGGCGTCCAAATTGTTGCTAAAATAAAAATATATTGTGACAAACAAATGTAAAATATATTACTGTAAGTAGGCAAATTTATTAATATAAAGATTAACTTAATTCCTGTAAATGTCAAAATTAACTTAATTCTTGAAAATGTGAAGATTAATTTAATTCTTGAAAATGTAAAGATTAACTTAATTCTTGTAAATGTAAAGATTAATTTAATTCTTGTAAATGTAAAGATTAACTTAATTCTTGTAAATGTAAAAGTTAACTTAATTCTTGTAAATGTAAAAATTAACTTAATTCTTGAAAATGTAAAGATTAACTTAATTTTTGTAAATGTAAAGATCAACTTAATTCTTGTAAATATACATTTTAACTTAATTCCTGTAAATAGATAGATCAATCTAATTCTCACAAATAAAGAGATCAACTTAATTTCTATAAGTATAAGATATAAATTATTTCAACTGAATTAAACAGAAATTTTATTCAACTCAAATCTCCACAAAAGCTAAATTAATTAACCAGCTCTAAATATTCTTCTCAGTAAAAATACATGTTGTAATCGCGTTAAGATACCCTAAAAAACATCACATGATGACTCAACTTCATTGCGCAACAATATTACATAATTACATCGAAAAACCTAGTAAAACTTTCCTGGTTTATTAAAAAACCATTTTACACTCACTAAGACACGTCCAAATGCTCGAGATTCACCGGCACCGGTTCGATGGTTAGTTTCTTCAGTTCTGTAAAAGAGTTAAGTCAGATTTAATATTAATTTATGGTGTATGAAAAGGAAAAATTGTAGAGGTCTTACTGTTATTTCCGGCAATCAAGGAAACGAGATTTCTTCCGCAGACCGTCAGTTCTGTTAAAACATTTCGCGCGCAACGAACGCTTCTCAATTCTTGAAGAGCGCTGATGTCCAATTTCTCAATGCTATTTTCACTGACGTCTAGATGCGTTAAATTCTTGATTACAAGGGAAATAGAACGATCAATAATTAGTTCGGAAGCGTTCGTGTAGCATGCATACACAACATCAGAGAAAAATGCTTACTCCGTAATTTCCGAGAATTATGTTCCCTTTCAACTGATTGTTCCTTAGGTTCACTTTATACAAATTATTCTGATTGTTCTTCTCATCTCTGTAGGTTTTGCTGTGCTCACTTTTCGATAACACTTCCTGTAGACAATAAACAAGAAATTTTAATAATTTATTTTTGGAAAAATTTACCGACTTTTTGTAACTTTGGTAGAATGCACAATTTGTAATTGTTCGAATTCAAGCTTGTTCTATTTTCAGCTGAAATGCACTTTGTACGATATTTTATAAATATTTAATAGTTATGTTTTCAATCGGTTCCGACTTTGAAACACAGATTAATAATGGTTTTTTTGTAGTTCTGTACAGTATACATATATATTGTGTAGAGAGAGAAAGAGAGAGAGGGAGAAAAATATTTTGTTATGGACACGACTTAAAAAAGTTATGTGAAAAAGCAAAAATTTCCATGTAAATCATATACAGACAATATTACGATTATTTTAATAAAATTCAAAGTGAATCCCCATATTTTGTTTGTTAGTTAGGTCAAACAAACAAGAATTAAAAAAAAAATATCCTCCAATATTTGTTTATAATAAACTAAATAAAACTATTGAATCTAATTTATTAAAACCCATCAGTCCTTCTCTACTTTGTCTATTAAATGAAGTTTTTAATTATTACAAATGTGACGAACACATATTTTGAATCATTATTTTCAAGTACATAGATAAATTTATGAAAGACAGGTACATTTTCAAAGAAAAATATATTTACAAAACTTTAATTCAGAAATTAAATACAATTTAATTCAGAAATTAAAGAATGTTCCAATGATTTTCTTGTGAAATTACTTTTTCCTGTAAAAAGATTTATGTTTTAATTATATTTATGACCCAGCTTGCGCCGGGCACACAAAAAATTAGTCTATAGACTCATCAATTGTTCCCCTCCACGGAAATCTTTAGTAAAAGGCGAAAGATTTATGCGTGATTTGAAGGGAAACCAGAGTGAAGAACCACTGGCCTGAGCCCCCTTATGTACAGTCCTCGGATGTATTTCTCTTTCGAGAAACTAGTTGCGGCTGCGGCCATCTAGTGGCGACACAGTGAATTACCGCGCAGGTGCGTACACCGTAACGGATAGCCCTGTTCACTATGGCAAAAATATTTTAAAGGAACCTTGCAATAGAAATATAACAACTCGGACAAGAATAAATTTTCTAAAAATATGTATTAATAGTGAAGAAATAAAAAAAAGGATTGTATCATTATAGACTACTGATATAAATGTAATTTTAGTATCGTGTGCATGAATTGATGGTTAATAAGCAACATATGAAAATGTTTTATTATAATTAACAGTAAAATGTACTAATAAATAATTTATATATAACCTTTATTTATTGTTAATACTAATGGTATTAGGTAAAAATATCTTTAAGAATTCAAACTTTTAGGATATTATTTGTTTTAAAAGAAACTTGAAAATTATAGTACTTAGTGCTTTTAAATATTTTTATATATCAAGTGTTAAAATATTTAGAATTTACAAATAACAAATTATGATTGTTCAAGCTTAAAATAAAGTTAATGAATAATAAATATTTGCGCCTGATTTTGCACAATTTTCTAATGATTTTCCTTATTGTAATTTCTAAAAAGAATTATTCAAGGCAAGTACTACATACTATAATTATTTATTTAACGTTTCTTCACAACAACTGGAGTTAGACAACATATAAGCTTATCCTTAAGAGATCAATTTACCATCTATTCTAAAATCACGTGAGCTATTGATTATTAAGTTATAGATAAGATTATTAGATAAAATATGTTCCACTTCGATAGGTATATCAAAATTGATTAAAGCCACTTGATATTTTAAGATCTACGATTCTCAAAAAACTTATATAATCGATTTATCTTTTACAGAAATCATTTCTTGTTCACATCACGTGCAGCAAACAATCATGCGGTTTGTCGGTGATCGATTTGCTGATAGTCTGCAAACATTTGCTATCTCAATATTTTAGACGAGATGTACTCAAAAGCGATTATATCTACATGCTATTGCGATAATCAAATGTATTAAAAATTTGGAGTGTTTGGCGATTTGGGGATTTAGGGATTTAGGATTCAGGGATTTAGGGATCAGAGATTTGGGGATTTGGGGATTTGGGGATTTGGGGATTTGGGGATTTGGGAATCAAGGATTTAGGGATCAGGGATTTAGGGATCTGAGGTTTAGGGATCGAGGATTTAGGGATTTGGGGATTTGGGGATTTGAGGATTTAGGGATTTGGGGATTTGGGGATTTGAGGATTTGGGGATTTGAGGATTTAGGAATCAGGTATTTAGGGATCGAGGATTTAGGGATCTGGGGACTTAGGAATCAGGGATTTAGGGATCGAGGATTTAGAGATCTGGGGATTTAGGGATCAGGGATTTATGGATCAAGGATTTAGGGATTTGGGGAAGTAGGAATCAGGGATGCAGGGATCACAAATTTAGGGATCTGGGGATTTAGGAATCAGGGATTTAGGAATCAGGAATTTAGAGATCAGGGATTTAGGAATCGGGGATTTAGGGATCGAGAATTTAGAAACTAGAAAATTCACAAGTTTATTTTCTCCAGAACTAGAAAATAGCAGAATCTAAATTCAAATCCTTAACAAATTGAAAGTACAGTTTCTAAATTTCCCCTATAGCTTCCCATAATTACTCCCATGTATTTATAACACACGCTACTTTTTTGAAACCAACATTTCACAAATTAAACTTAAATACCAATAAAACACATTTCCTCAACCAGTACCGTATACATCAGAACACCGTTAAGTTTCAAGAAAAGTACACGAGTGTTTAAGTTGTTAATTAATTGGAACAAAGTCTGGGTTCGTCAGATCGGAACTGAATTTGTGCAATGCTCGGTGATTTCGCGGCCATTCGTCGTAACGGTACACGTAGCGCGAATTTTGAATTACAAAATACTTAAATAATTTCACGAAACGTATAGACGTACCGTTAACGCAAGCGTTCGCATGTTGAAGAAAGATGGAAGACTGTTCAGGCAATTTCCAGCCAAGGAAATGTTTCTCAAGTTCTTCAGCTCGCCGAGCTCGTGCGGCAACTCTTTGATTCCATTACGATCCAAGATCAGCTCTCTCAGACTGCAATGAAATTAACACATTTTTTATGTTACTGTTCTTGCATATATTCCTTATCATTATTAGAGGTGGCACAAGGTGAATTATTTGTGTAACCGAGTTTTTTTAAAATTTAGAAACTTACAAATATTTTACGCTATCAAAATAATTGTATACTGTTGCAGTTATTAATGTTCAATCTTAATTATTGATTTGTAGAATTCCACTGTTAAATTTTTAATAAATAATAATTCTAGCTAAGTATAATTTTAATCTTTTCTTATTCGTTCTTAAACAAATTATATAAACATACACCTATGCATGGTGTTACCTGCAACGCTGCTCATGATTTTTCTCCCACTTGCAGCCACCTTACGAAAAAAAGTTTAGAACAATATTTGCAGGGTATGAAGTGCACAATAGATATTAGTAAAGCAAATTTTGAAAACAGTTTGTTCTCTCGGCAAAGTCAAGGTCACCTTGGGTTTTTTAAATAGGAACATACATTTTTTTTATTCATAGCTTTAGAGGACATCGAGACGAATTCAGAACACATATTACATGATATTTTTATTAACATGTTACTCGATTTATAGAAGTGGAAATGTGAAGTAAAAGACCGGAATATTACGTGATGGAAGGCGGCATACATTTTGAACATGCAATTAAATAAAGTGTATTTTTCTTAGATTCTAGTCGCGTGTCTACATTCAGTAATCTCTTCGGAATCAAATAATGGTTACACTACCAAAGTCAAATACATTACCAAAGTCAAAAGCCACTTCACATTTCTGCATATTATAGGAAATGAAAGATGTTATTCGAGTTGTGTTATTCCGGTTGACACGATCAAATGAATCAAGATAAATTAACAGTGCATTTAGCGGTGCAACATGATTCGATGTCAATGCACGTTGCACCTTGGATGTTGCACGGACAAACGAATCGGTGAACCTAAACGAACGGACCGCCCACAGGATGTGCACTTGAGTAGAAAGTTTCGAATTATGGTGAAAACCTTCCTGCCAGTAAGCATCTGTGTCATCGGATGGACTTTCAGTTTTTAAAGTAAAATCGAAACGGCCGGAAGTAATTGAAGATAGACGCTTGATCATGTCGCGTGATTTGTTAATACTTTGCGTAACTGCTGGCCATATTTTGGTTTTGATAGGATCAGATTCGCTCTCGATGCGTTATTTTTTGGAAATTATAGCTCAGAAATTTTTAGGTTGGATATACAGTAATTTAAAATTTTTAAAGTTTCAAGTTTGCAAGTTTGCAAGTTTGCAAGTTTTTAAGTTTTCTAGTTTTCTAGTTTTTAAGTTTTCAAATTTTCTAGTTTTCTAGTTTTCCAGTTTTCAAGTTTTCCAGTTTTCAAGTTTTCAAGTTTTCAAGTTTTCAAGTTTTCAAGTTCTTAAGTTTTCAAGTTTTCAAGTTCTCAAGTTTTCTAGTTTTCTAGTTTTCTAGTTTTCTAGTTTTCTAGTTTTCTAGTTTTCTAGTTCTCTAGTTTTCTAGTTTTCTAGTTTTCTTGTTTTCTAGTTCTCAAGTTTGCCAGTTTTCAATTTGTCATCTTTTCTAAGTTTTGTATTTTGAAATATTTCTGAATTTCACAAGTTAAAATACTCCAAAGTTACAAAGTTCCATGATTCTATAATTCCAAAATTTTAAACTTGAAATTTTGGTAATTTGTAAATTTCCAAATTCTCCATTTTCCAATTCCCCATATTCTCAAGTGTCAATTTCCCAAATTTCCCAAATCCAAGAATTTCAAATTTGCAATGTCCCAAAGTCTCTAACATTCTAAAACTCTTAAATTTCAACATTTCAAAGTATCAATATCCTTAAATTCTCAAACTCCACATTTTTAGAATCGAATTCACTCTACCAATTCTCTAAATTTTCACATATCATTATCTACTCATATCTACTCATCCATTTTTCGCCCCAATCGAGCCGCCATATTGAAAGTACCCACTTGAAAATAACCAAGAGAAAAAAATAGATAATTAAAAGAAGAGAAAGAAAGAAACCGAAGAGAATAATTCCACCGTTCTAAACGTGGAAACTCTCGAATGCTAATTACCGGAACACTTGAACCCTTCAACTACATCGAATCGCCATATTGCATCCTCTTATTCGGGCGTCGAGCACGCACTTATTTCCAGAGCACGCGGCCACTTCTCACCTGCTTTACCATTCCTTATTCTTCGGCCACTGCACACGCTGTTTAAAGAACGAGAACACCTCTAAAGATCTCGAGTATCCTCTCGAGTATTCCGGGACGCTTCTTAGCGGAGACACTGCATTCTCCAGAAAAAACTTCCCTCGCGTTTTTCACCCATTCATAATGCGTTCAAATATTCATCGTTTTCGTTCTTTCTATCCATTTAAAGCGTACACCTTGATAATGGATTCCTTCAGAGCACCACGCTTATTCTATTTCCTTCTTTTTCCTTCCCTGCTCGTAAGATTATTCTGTCCTTTGGACATCCGAACCCCTATTCCTTCATCTTTGTATATTTTACACAAACTTCTTTAACTGATCTTTTTCATTTTTCATTTCACGGAAAATCCTTTAATATCAGCCACGTATTTTCACGAATTTTCAAATTCGCGTATTTTATTCTATATTTTTCTGGGTTTCTCAATTTCGGTACTTTTCATACAAAATTTCTTCGCAGCAATTTTATTGCCTCTTGCATATTTTGAAGATTTTTCGTATTCTGGGTTCCTCAATTTTGGTACGTTTTAGACAATTTTTTGTCAGCTTTTTTATTAGTTTTTGTATATTTTTCAGGAGGTTCAAGGATAATAGGTTTCTCAATTTTAGTACGTCTGGTAGAAGATTATTTCATAGCGTTATGTTAGGTTTATAGTCTTTCTATTTCTCACAAACTTCAATATCCAGTCTTCTTTACTTTTTGTATATTTTATGGAAAATCCTTTAAGTTAGTTCCATGGATTTATTGGCTGTCTTTCTTTACAGAAGGTTCTTCAACATCTGTTGCTTCTTAGTCTTTGTGTCTTTCCGATGAGATTCTTCAAGGTTAACATTCTGTATTTCTTAATTTTATCACATAAAGAATTCTGCAATATCTGTATCATGTATTCTTTTAAATTTATATGTTCATTTCGTGTAGAATTCTTCAAGTTTAATATTAAGTAGTTCTTGAGAATGTCACCTGATAATGTCAAGTTTAGTGATCAATCGTTTAGTACCAAGTTTAGTGTCAAGTTTAGTATCAAGTTTAGTATCAAATTTAGCATCAAGTTCAGTACCAAATTTTATATCAAGTTTAATAACAAGTTCTTCTGATGAAAGCTGCAGAGTGTCCTCACCAATAATTACTGAAGTTTATTTCAAACTTTGCGATTAAACATCAACATTTATATTTTAACATTTAATTTATGATATACAGTTTAATGTTCAATATGGAGAGTGATTAATCAAGTCTCTACAACAATAAATCCTCCTCAAAGTCCACATTCACATATGTTTCTCCCCAGCAGACTAATCTCCGTTCAGCACCCTGGTAGACAATTAATCAGACAGCGTACAATTAACTTGATCCTCAGGAAATATTACCTCAAAGAATTGCAACTTCTTCCATAAGTCTCCTTTTACTGTGATCAACATGAAAGATTTAGCTGCAATTGAAAGTTCTTGATGTTAAATTACACCGTTCAGGTTAAAATCTCTTGAAATAGCGAATCCTAAAATGCACAAATTCAGCAACTTCTGATTCTTGTTCGCACTTCTCTGATATAAATAAGTCTTGAATCTTGACTCATGAACCGAGTGTTCCAAACTTTCAGTTCACTCTTAAATCCAAATTACCCAAATATTGAGATTCTCCAAAAATTCACAGTGAATTTACCAGATAATTCATTCACATGAACAGTTTATGAGATAATTTTCCAAAACGACGAACTCGAATCGCTTTCAAACTTTTTCCTCCAAATTCGCGAGATCGACCTCTTCAGACGTTGCGATCTTCTATAAGTGGGTTTCTTCAGCTTTCCGTAAACGATATTCCTAGGACAGCTTTGTGAAGTTACGAGCTGGTGCACACTCGCGCGAGTTCTTCGGGGGACTAAAGAAGCGAGGCGAAGCATATTCAAGCTATTCCTTCGTCGAGGAAGAAAGAGGGAGACCAAGGATGGCTTGGCTGACCACTCTGACGTAACAGAATGGAGAGATTAGCTTGGGTGGTGGTAAAACCATGGGGTTCTAATGAATAAACACTGGAGAGTATAGTTGTTTGGCGAGTAAACAACCAAGGATTACCCGGAGGATTGTAAGATTCACAGGTCATTGATTTTGATAATCGTTTGCTGAGGTCGCTGGTTGAACATTGTAGAGATATGTTGATATCTTGCTATTTAACACTAGAACTACTTAACACTAGTTAGTTTAACATTACCAACTAATTAAAAGCTTTCAGGTTCCACATTTTATATTAGAAAATTCTGTGCAGATAATAATAGTCATTGTGAGATTATTAGTAATAGTTTTGAGATACGGAATGGTTAATTAATTCTTCGATGTTAGTTAATTTTTCAGTGTCTGCTTATTTTTTTGGCTTGTTTTCAATTTTAAGGTAGGTGTACATGTAACGCCGGGGATGTCAAGGATGATATTAAATTTTTCAATTTAAGTACGTCCCTCAAGTACCGTTTGTTTGATGAAGTTTTGAAAGTCCAAGGGCTTTAAGTTGTGGAACTTGTAGTCCTATATTTTCAGAGTTTCAGAGACAAAATTTTAAAATCTCCTGGTTTTGAATTTTCATAAACCAATAATTTCTGTGTGCAAAAATCTCAAAGTTTCAAAGTTGCAAAATTTCAAAACTCCAAATTCTAGAAATTCCTAAATAAAAATCTGCAAACTCAACAGGTTGTGAAACTTTATAATTCCAATTATGCCAATAGGTGAAACCACAGAGTTCCAAAATGGCGGCGCATCCGATTTTGTAGAACTAGGTCAGAATGGATCAATTCCTACAATTCTACCTGTTGAATCCACA